AAGCATCAGTGAACACAGCGCTGGACAGGCACAAACCAGAAGTGGTGGAGCTTCACGTGTCCTTAACTCCAGCTATGAGGGCCATCCAGAGCTCCATCCTGGACATCATGACCGCCTGTTTAAAGGAGCTGAAACGCTACAACCCCACTCTAGAGGCTGAGGACCTCTCACTGGAGAACACGCTGGGGAATTCTTTTGAAAAGGTTTCACAGTGTGTTACTAACATATACGACACATTTAAGCTGCCTTGACAAATTTTACCTCAGTGCGTGAAAACATTTTTGATTAAACTATTAAAGGAGGATTTTTTTGTTTTTTAAGAAGGCTTATGATAATTGGACCGAGAAAAAAGCAGGTTGAGATGAGCCTCTTTAATTTGCATGTTAAATGTTATTACAGCATTTATGAGAACCCAGTTTCTAAAAGAAAATTCAGGACACTGCAAAATGATTTGTAATCCATCTAAACCCTCTTAAATTTAAATTGAAAATAGTACAAATACAGTATGATCCCACAACTAATTAGGTCAATTGGTAACAGGTCAGTGGCATGATTGGATATGGAAAGAGCATCCGAGCGAGGCCGTGAGAGGTGAAGATGTTCACTGTTCTGTGAGGAACTGCGAGTTCTTTTATAATGAATGGTGCTGCGTCCTGCATGCTGAATAAGCTGGAGCACATCTGTGTGACTTCTCCTGCTAGAAGAGTTAGAAAAATACACCTCTGATTGTAGGTGAGTTCAATTGTATGCTTTGCCGTACTCCCATTCAGACTATCCGTCACTATCTGGACCCCTTGTGGCATCAGCTGGGAGCAAAGACCAAAGCACTGGTTCAGGATCTGAAGGTGCTGAGAGTCCTCCTGCTCTACCTAACCCAGTACGACTGCGTCACCTTCCTCAATCTCCTTGAGTCGTTGCACTCCAGCCAAAAGATCTTTGGCTCTAATTCGGGTAAACTACATTTATTTGACTGCCCTTAAATGTCAGATTGGAGGCCATTAAGAGTTTAAAATGTCTAAATTAATTGTAATTCTTTGCATTCAACCTCGCTCTTACCATCAGGTTGGCTCTTCCTGGACTCCAGTACATCCATGTTTGTGAACGCCAGGAGCAGAGTCTACCGTATTCCCGAGAGCAAAAAGAAACTTAAAGTGGGAGCAGAGGCAGAGAAACAGAAGCCATCCTCTGCCTCAGGTAACTGTGTAGTTGGCCAATCTCTGATACGGTGATATCAGAGTAGATATCCACAGAACTTGTCTGTGTATTCATGTTGGCATGACTAACTGCTCACTCTGTGTGTGGGTTTTAGAGGTGAAGCGGGAGCTGGTGCTGGAGAGGAGCCCAAAGTGGGAGGCTCTGACTGAGGTCCTGGAAGAGATTGAGAGGGAGAACAAGAGCTCTCAGCATGAGCCAGGTTAGATCTCAGTGATGTTCAACTGTTACAATGTCATCATGAATGAGTCTGAAAATGATTTTCTATAATACGATCTGATTTTTAAAAGTCATTTGTAAAGATTTGTAAATTTTAGCTCACAGTTAAACTCCTCATTTGAAATCTAGACTGCCAAAAAAGCAACACTTTGGAAACACATCAAAGCTCAATGGGGCAAAAAAAATCATGCTTGAAATCTATACTGATACAGATTGGCTAATATGTTAAGAATGAAAGGATGCCATCGTTTGATGGAAATGTAAATTATCAGCCTACAGAGGGCTGAATTCAAACAAACCCTGAAAATCAAATGATGTTGCAGGCTAATGCAACTCAAAATAGTACTCAGTAGTTTATATTGCCTCCACTTGCCAGTGGACCTGCCAATTCTGGTATTCTATGGCAAGTGCCAGGCAGTGACATGGAGCCCACTAAAGGATGCCCTTAAGCTACATTTCGTAGCTCTGGCAGTTCTCCTCCTGTTTCTCCTTGCACAAAGGAGCAGATAATGGTCCTGCTGATGGGTTAAGGACCTTCTACGGCCTTGTCCAGCTCTCCTCCAGTAAGACTCCTGGAATCTGTTCCATGATCTTGAAACTGATTAACAACCCCCTCTGCTAATAACCTGAGCAGATCAATATCCCAGACGTATAACTCACTCAGTGCTATATTAAAAAGTGTTCCTCTTATTTTTATTTATTTATTTATTTATTTATTTTTAGCTGCAAGAAAAGCATGAGCCACAGCTGGCATTTTACAAAGTCATCCTCGGGGTGGGCTGATTTGTGTTGTGGTGTTGCTTTGAAGCTGCACAGTACTTGACAGTACACCTGTACACACTGAGGAAAAGTAGTCCACCAGAATTTGGGTCAATTGCAGAATATAGAGTAGGCCTCTTTATCCCCCGTGGACCCACTGGCTTTCGAAGCAGGAAAATCTTTGGCTTTAGCCCCAGTGTTAGGATTCTGTGTGAGCTCACTTTAGGTGCACCAGTTCACGGCCTAAATATGCTGTCTTGGTGGCGTGGAAAGCACCTGTCAATCAATCAAAAAATCAAAAAAGCTTCTCTTTTCATTGTCAATTTACATTAAAGTAGTTTTTAGTCTTTCAGGGGAATATTTTTTCCAAATCCTTACATTTTTACATTACAATCTGACAATCTCTCTGTAAAGATCTATCTTTCTCTAACTGCCTTATGTTCCTCCCTCAGGTCGAGTCCTGATTTGTGCCAGTGACGACCGGACCTGTGCTCAGCTGCAGCAGTACATCAAGCACGGCTCCGACTGGCTGCTCAACCGGCTCTACCACCGCACGATTGGGAAACGGGACTCTGCTGCACTGGGCGCCTTAGAACTGGATTTGGAAAAAAAGGGAAAGGGTCCGGTCAGAAAAGGAACAAAGGGAAAGCAACCTGCGCAGAAAAAAAATGCAAAGACGACAAAAGGCAAAAGCAGACCTTCCTTGACTCTGACCCAGATGGTGGGGAAGGAGGAGACAGGCGAAGCGGCAGTCATGGGCAGCAGCGGAGATGAGGATGAACTGACGGATGAAGACGGAGGCGAGGAAGAGCAGCTCAAGCTAGACTTGCCATCAGATGCTTATTACGGCATCCTGAAGGAACCGCTGACTGTCATTCACCCGCTGAAAGGCTGCACCGATCCCCACAGCTTGACCCGGGTTCTCCATGAGGTGGAGCCCAGCTTTGTGGTGCTTTACGATGCCGAGCTGAGTTTTGTGCGCCAGCTTGAGATCTACAAAGCTAACCGGCCTGGAAAGCAACTTAGGGTGTACTTCCTCATCTATGGTGGCTCGACCGAAGAACAGAAGTACCTGACAGCTCTGTCTAAGGAAAAGAAGGCTTTTGAACACCTCATCAGGTCAGAGCTGTTTCTCTCCCGTTAGCCACGTTGGGTGTATTTTGTTGAGGGTCATTTGCTCACCATTTCTTGTATTTGTATTCTTGTTTAGGGAAAAAGCTACTATGGTGATCCCAGAGGAGAGAGAAGGGCGAGAAGACACCAACCTAGACCTTGCTAGGAATCTAGATCCCGCCAATGCCACCACCAACACCCGCAAAGCAGGCAAGTCTCTGTTGTTATGCATTTTTTATTTTTCTCTCCTTTGTGTGCTAAATCGTCTTCACTATGCATTGGACCAGTTTGTGTTTTTATATCCGTTTTCTGTCCAATAACCAGGTGGCCAGGAGCAGCCCACAGAGCCCTCACGAGTCATTGTGGACATGCGCGAGTTCCGGAGTGAGCTGCCATCCTTGCTCCACCGTCGCGGACTGGACATCGAGCCGGTCACCCTGGAAGTAGGCGACTACATTCTGACGCCGGACGCATGTGTCGAGCGCAAAAGCGTCAGCGACCTGATCGGCTCGCTTCAGAGCGGCCGCCTCTACACCCAGTGCCTCTCGATGACCCGCTACTACAAGAAACCTGTGCTGCTCATCGAGTTTGACCCAGCTAAGCCATTTTCCCTAACGGCCCGCTCGGATTTCCGTCACGAGATTTCATCAAATGATGTTTCTTCAAAGCTCACCTTGCTTACGTTACACTTCCCCCGGCTACGTATACTGTGGTGCCCCTCCCCGCACGCCACAGCCGAGCTCTTCCTGGAACTAAAGCGAGGCCAGCCCGAACCTGACGCCGCAGCAGCTCAGGCGGTAACGGCCGAGTCAGACACTGTGGCTGAATCGGCAGACCTCTACAATCCCGGACCTTATGACTTCCTGATGAAAATGCCTGGGGTCAACACAAAAAACTACAGGGCTCTTATAAAAAACGCAGACAGCTTGGCCGACTTAGCCAAAATCAGCCAGGACAAGTTAGGGAAAATACTCGGAAACGCTAACAATGCCAAGCTGCTGTACGAGTTCCTGCATAATGTAGTTAATGTCCCTGCGCCCATACAGAAGCCCAAACAGACATGACGAGCAGACTATATGGATATAGGAAGATTTTGCCACTGTGATTAAATTATTGCAGTAAGAGTATTTGACATATTCGGATACAAAATCAACTTTTTAAAAAATGCAGATGTTACGTTTAGATACAGTTTTTGTAAAACTGTGACTTTTATCGTTTTTCTGTTTTTATATTGTCGAAGAATAAAATCTGTCTTTTTATAATTAATAAAAAAAACTGTTATTTAACTTTAAAAAAAAAATAAAATGCACTTAATTTATTTTAAGCAAACCTTTAACGTGATTTTTTTCTTCCTTTGAGAGGAATGATAGAGTGAATTGTTAGTAATAACATACTGTTACAGTGGGGGATGCTCATATTTAATACAGCAAACATTTATTTAAAATGAAATCAGTACATGTACAAGTAACCCCTCTATGCTAAATGCTGTTGGCTCGGTGTCATGTGAGTGATCAGAACTCGGGGACATGACTCTTTGAGCACAGATGCCCCACCCAGCAGTTTATACACTTTCTGCTTGTGAGGGGCAGGAATCAGAATAAAGATGGTTTTCCACGACAATGGGGCCATTCTAAATCATGTACAGTGATAATTATCTTGTGTCCGTGACTTGTTTATTAAAAAAATATCACAATGTGCACTTCAGATCTGATTTCAGCTCTTCACAGTGCAGGTCTACACTGGAAAGTTATGCAACATATTCAAAACATACCAAAGGACTAAAGTCACGTTTTATGTTTTTTTTTTTTTCTTTTTGTTGACATACGTTTCCATTACGTATCCATTATATTGCAATCGTCTGTACTTTGAAGGAGAAATTCCGGTTTTTAAGGAGTGACCGTGCTGCCCAGTGAACAGGACCACCCTTCTCCTCCCCTGCCGACCGCTCCCGAGCTTCCTGTCCGACAACGTCATTACGTCACTCTGCATCCGAACCTAGACCAGTCGCAGCCATTTTAGTCCGCGAAATAAACTTCAATCTCAGAGCTAGACGAATAAAAAAACTGAATACTTAGCATAATTCCGTTGACGCAATTTGGATACCTCGTTGCAGACCACGGCTCGGATGGATTCGCTTTTCAAGTCGTCATATTTCGGTAAGAGCACAAACCCGGGGCGGCGCTGTCTTGTTTTTAGCATGTTAGCCCATGTTAGCTGGAGCGAGCTAACTGGAGAAAATGTAAGGAGGTTGTTGTTGAGGAGCATTCGTGATGTGCAGACCTAGACAGCAGAGCGTGGCTTGGTAAGGAAAGCATGGACAAGGCTCATTTGACTGTAACTTGATGTGTATTTATTCCCTTTCCTAGAAATGACAGTCATGAAAGCGCTTCATTATATTTTATGTTCGTCGCTGTCTGTAACTCACTCCCCTGTCAGATTTAAAGTAGTTATCCAGCCTTAGCTTAACCCACACCCACTCGCCTCTGCGATAACAGCCCAGCCGTCTCACTCAATAACACTCCCTCGGGAAAATCTATTATTGCTGCTTAAACAGACTAGCCTTTTGTGAGTATGGTGTTTGTGCAAGGTGTGTGTTTATTTCAGCCATTTCCTTCTAGCTAACTGCGGATACTGTCTGAATTGCAAGGCATGGCATACAGTGTGTTAGTGAGCCGACAGGCCAATTTCTCAAGTAATACTGTCGCAGTGTACTGAGTCTCCTGGCTTACGGAAACACCGGCATGTTCTCTTCCAGCCTTCCTAGTCTAATAAAGTGAAAAAATAAATAGAAGTAAAATAAAGATGTCTAGAGGTTGTGGTGCAGCAAATCCAAACAGCCTGTGTGTGAGTCATGCAGACTGGCAGGAAGCGTTTATTCAGAGGCGGCTCTGTCGAGTCAGCGTGTCACTAAAGTGTGAATTATTCACGTTATCTTAAACATTGTGCATATGGTTGTATGGGAACGGAAATATACGGAGGCTGTAGGTTATTTTTTCTGCCTTTTAGTGTAGGGTTAGTTTGCAACAGTACTGCGGTTTCCAGTATTGCGGTGCTTGTCATGCAAAATAGAACAGGCCAAAGAAGCAGCCCAATGCGCTGGGAAATTAGGGGCTTTTATAAATCCTCCGAGTCGCAGTTTTAATTTTGCTTAGGTGTCACCACACTGAAACTTTTAGTGTGGTTTACCTGGTCTGTTTGTACGGGTTCTTTCTTATTTCTCTTCTTCTTTTGAAGGGGATCTTTTGAGCAAAGTCCCCTAAGGCAGCCAGGAAGGAAACGACACCACATGTGTGTCTGTGGGAAACAAGAGCAGAGCAGCGACTGTGGCTGAATGAGACAGGGTGATGACATAATTCCTGTCTTATCTTTGGTTAAAAGCAGACATTTTTGTCCTGCAAGACCTGGTCTATTGAAGGCTCAGAAATCTGCAGACTCAAACTGCTCAAAAGCGGCTCTCATGTACGCCCTACACATTGTTCTGTTGTTTGAGCTGAAGCTGAGCTGTGTTTCATACTGAAGAATAGCATGCTGTGACTTAAAAAAAAGAGTACTTGATTTTCTTTTTGTTGCAGTGCCATGCCAAACAGGCATGTCCTAAACAGGACTACATGACATGGCAGTTCATCAGAGGTGATGTTCAGTCTGTGCGTTTTTCTATGAAGACAGTGTGGACACTAGGTCTCAGAATGTCAGTTATCTCAGGCTGTTTAAGAGAATGGGTGTGTGTGGCTGCCTTATCACTGGGATTCTCTACAGGGCTATTTGTAAGGTGGCCCATGACCTTCTCTTCAGACATGTTTGCAACGGCTGTGGGTACATATCTCTGTGGCTGCAGCGATGCCTGCAAAGCTATTGTGATTGTAAACCACTTTCCATTGCTTTTAATATTGTATAAATTGTTTTATTGTTTTACCTCTAGAATCCTGCTCTCTGCTTAAGAAATGTTGTCCTTTTTTTTTCTCTATATAGGCCTTTTTCTCTCAAGACAATCAAGACACTGTTCCCGGTAAAATGCCATAAATTATGTCACCTGTACGGCACGAGTGTAGCCTGTTTTTTATTTTATTTTTTTATAAGGCAGTGAAAGAGAAAGAAGAGCCTAAGGCAGCAGGCACACCCACATTCTGTCATCAGCCTGGACACCTTTGTTGACTTGACTGATCTTCCTTTGTCACGCTGCAGATAATCAGACACAGATAAAACCTGAAGCCAGTGTTAGTTTAGTTAATCTTAAAATCCTCTGTGGCTCGTTTGGCTTTAGTTGAGAACACCGCACTGTGCTAACATCTCCAGTCAGCATTGATAATGTAGAGAAATGCCTCCGAATCACCATCTGAAATCTGTTTGACTTTTCAGAAGTCTCACCAGGAGGATTTATTTTTAGCTCTAGTTTAGCAAGCGCAATGATCTAAGGATGGCATAGTCATTCATAGTAGGGCTGGGCCATATTATACCGTTCACGGTAATACCGGTATAATGTTAGGCAACAATAGGAAAATGACACATCGCGATAGAATATGAGTAAAACGCGCATGCGCAGTGCCTTTGTTTTCATACGCACATGGCCGATTGTTGAGTGAAACAGATGAACCAGAATTGGTTTGTAAAAAATGGTGCAACTTCAGTGATGTGGAACTGGTTTGGTGTTTGTCCGTCAGATACACGACAAAGCACATTTCTTTGCAGAACATGCAAGCGGCCGTTGTTATCATTGTTGTATTTGTCAGATTAAGATGCTCTTAAATCTGGGAGTAATCTGGGTCCTAAACTCCGTATGCTTCAGGTCAAACGAACACTGCAGCATCACTGAGAGTTAAAAACTGTCTAAATTCTTTCATCTTTAATAAAACGATCAGCATTGCTGCTTTACCAGGTGTAACTATGAAGTTTAACTTCCAGGCATCCATGAAAACAGAATTTATTACATTTAACGGAGTTAGAAGTTAGCAGGAAGCTAGCGGAAGTTAGCTCGCTAGTTTCGCTAGTTACCTAAGCATGATATAGCATGTTCTGACTGAGAGATTTCTGAAAAAATTCAAACGTACAGCTCTGCTATCACTTCCAACATAAATGAAGACAGGAAACTAAACAGCAGTGACGTTTGTAGGGTTACTGAAGTTGGGCTAGCTGGTATATAATGATGTGCTACGTGATCGCTAGCGACACAGCTATGTTAGCATAACATAAACAGTGAAGCTGGAGGACGAACACTAACACTTTTCCACTTATAAAAGTTAACGTTAAGGTTCCTCGATGGTTAGAGACAAATGCAATCGCATGGCAGGATGCTGTAAACGGACCAAACTTCAGTCAGGAGAACAACTGAGATAATCCATCCACAATACGAGGTTAGTCATTAATATACTGCAACAACATGGGAATAGAGCAGCTGCCAGAGAATTCAACATTAATGAATCAATGGTACAGAAGTGGAGGAAGCAAGAAGAATGAGTTTAATAAAGTTTGATTTATCTGACTGCTTTGTTTCGCTTAATGTGCCTTATAATCCCGTGCACCTTATGGTCCGAAAAATACGTACTGCACACTGCAGTTTAATGTTGCAAAGCACCTCTTTTTAACTTCAGTGGATATTATACATGGTTATGCTCAGGATATGTCAGCCCATTTCTACTGGAAATGCCTTTTGGTTAAACTTTCAGCAAGGAATTTGCATTTGCACTGTTAATTTTTATAAAGCTTTAATGTACATAAAAACCAGCTTCTTGTTTAAGTGAAAATAAATGGAAGGTTGTCTTTTTGCGCTAGTAATGTTGTGGAGTTGTATTTTGTCTCGCATCAATTATATCGTCAGTTATATCGTTATCGCAAATTTTCAAATATATATCGTGATAAATATTTTTGGCCATATCGCCCTGCTCTAATTCATAGGCTGTTATTTCCATGGTACCTCGGCTGAGCTCCAAATACTTTGAAAACCCCTTTCGCTGTCTTCATCCCTACCTATGCAAATACTTAAAGTTAACTTGACTGTGATCGTCGTCATCGCCCTGTACAGGCATTTTTAATTTTTTTTTAAATTTTTTTTTTTTTTTCTTTAATTTGCGTTGAAAGGGAAATTCCTCAAAATAAGACATTGTAACAATAATTGTATCTGAACTGGTTTCAAATGGATGTTTGCACATGTGCGCCGCAGCCCTGAACGTTCGTAAATACTGCATAATGGTGCTGCGTGTGAGAAGAGAAAAATCTGATGCAGGCAAATCAACCATTAAATGGTCTTTGTCCAAAACAAATGCAAAGTTAAAGTACACGTGAGCACGGCAGTGGTAGTTGTTTGGTGAATTCCCGCCTGCTCATGTCTTACCCGGGCAGCTCCCTCCTGTACTTGTCTTAAGGTGACCATCTCGTGTTGTGCGCTACATATGAAGACGACAGCAGTCGGTGTGCTAACCCGGTTCTTGCATCATTGTTCAGAATTCCTGTGTGAAAAGTGTTTATCTTTTCAGCCACTGCCATCTGTAAATATCAATGAGCCCAGCATTAACTCAAACTGATGTATTGTACATTCGTAGTCTGTACAGTGTTTGTGCAGGATCCAAAGAAGAGCTTTGAGTGTCCTTCAAGAAGCCTGGAGAACTGTTCCTGGAAAAAGAGAGTTCGGCATGTGCAGTAGAACAAATATTGACTTTCAAGCTCACTGGAATTTTAAAAATAGTTTTAGCCTCCTATAATCTATTTCCATGTGTGTTTGCACACATTTCAATAAGTTACTGCACCCATTTCCCATTTTCCTATCATGATATAGAGAAGTGAGGTGTTGCTCAAGATCTTATTTTGCACATTACAGTAGAGAAAACTGGATGACAAATGTGTACTGACAGGGAAGCGAAGGGTGTCCTTGTTTATGTGTTTGTGATTGCACCGAACAGTGGTCTGTGTCTGTAACACGCCCACGGGCAGAATCATAAACAGTAAAATATACATGCAGCTTCTGCATCTGGAAGGTGAAGCCAGTCGTGCGGCACATCTATTACCTGTGTGAATGAGTAGCGACCGCTCACTCGCTAATGTTAAGCACCCTTTTGTTTCTAGAGGTGTGTTTGTGCGCATTACCCTTTGATGAGGAATGTGCGGCTTGTTGCCTCGTGCCATTAAAAGAACAGAGGGCACAGCAACATGCTGCGCCTGCCGTCTGGATCTGCTCTTTGATTCTGCGAGGGGGACCACCGATGTTTATCCCACAAAACCTCTTCAGCTGCGACAGTTGTTGGGCCCTTCCTCTCTCTTTCACTTCCCCCTTTCTCGCACTCACTTGTTCGCTCAACATGTACTCGCACATGTCACGGAGGTCTGGCTGCTGGAATGCTGCACTGCTGTTCTCTCCTGCCGTTCACTCTTGTGATACGAAATCCATCTAGCTTCATTTTTATAGTCTGACCGATGTGAGTTTTTGAAGTGAAGTTGTTGAACAGGCTAAAATATGCTAAACTGCATTTGTTACTGCTGTTAGGGAGGAACCCGCATCAACAAGATAACTGGCAATCTTACTGTAATGCACAAACGTGATGTGGCACACAGGTGCTTAAAGGTTGTTGTATTAAGATCTTGTCATACTGCTTAGCAGCCACACAGCAATAGGCTAAAATAACCAACTTTTAGCATTTATGCACGTAGAATACCTTTTTATAAAAGCTTCATTTTCACTGCACAAACACTCCATACAGAAGCACGGGTATGTACATGGGCATGCAGTATGAGAAATGTGGCACAAGGCCATTATCTTTCCAGAGTGTCAGTGAATTGATGCATGAGTCTTATCCTAATTAAGTTATCTACTTTGCACACATCTCAGAGAGGATTAAAAGCTTCTTTGTGTGGCTGATTGATTCCTTTTCTCTGCCTCATGCTGCAGTATGATGCTGCACTACAGCTGCAGTGTCTGTTGTCTCTGTACAGACGATCATAGTGTGCATGTTTTCCGTGCAACCTTTGAACGTGATTTTTCAGACCCAGATGAAGCTTTGAGTGTCGGCCGCATCCATTGCAGCATTTTGAAGTGGTGCTTACTACTTTTATTCGCCGCACCTTTTAAAGCAGCATCACAGTGGCACCATGTTTTGCAGATTGGATTTCTCATTAGGTTCAAGTAGTTGTTTCCCAGTGTGGTTTCTCTTGCCCCTCTATTATGTTAAACTCTGGTTTGGTGGTCTGAAAACGCACTAATATTCAGCCACCGCTTCTCAGAAGTAAAGGAAAATAAAGCTTACTGCTTTTTTTTTTTTTTCTCTTCTTTAAATGTAACAGCCATTATGACTAGACAGAAACAGAAGAGACTTTTAGTGAAACAGGCTTAGCACTGAATGTGGTGTAGGATTATACACTGACTGTCCAGTGTCACTGAGTCATCTGAAAAAAAGGAAAACATGCTGCACTTGTGAGTTTCATTCTCATGATGTTTGTTTTTCTCTCTCCTTCCAGATTCGACTCAATGGCTTAGTGTGACTCTTCACAGCAACTAGCCAAGACTTCTTTCTCCGTCCCTTGTCTGCTGCTTCCTCAGGTAGGAACGGTCCCATCAACAGCTGATATACAGTTACCACCCAAGGCGATGGTTTTCTTTGCATCAGCGTCCCAGCTGTGTGCCAGCAAGCTAACAGACAAACTGCATTTGTTTTAACGTAGTGTGGGAACAAGCATCCATCCATTTTTGTTGATCACTTCTCTATTTCAAGGCTGTTTTTGTTTACGTGGCACTTTTTGCGTTTAAGTCTGGTCTTTTGGACAGAATGGAGGGATAACTGGTCCAGGAGTGTGTCGTCCATCCAGAGGATGAGACTCACTGGAAATGCACTGGAGTATGTCGCCCTGTTGCTTTTTGTTCCAAAGTACTTGGTAATTTAAATTGCAAACTTAAAAAAGTAGGCTTGTGTCTCTCTTTAGACGCATGCACCCTTCTTAGAAAATGTCTGACCTCTACAGTCACTGTGTGAAACACTGTTTCTGCAGTTTTACCACAGAAAGCCATTGAGGTTACACTGCTGAACTTCAAGGCCCGAATTATCGCTGAACCAGGTTGTTTTAATAGCACATAATCATCATATAAGAGGCAGTGAGTGGTGATGGATTAGAAACCAAAGTTTTGGCGACTGGGGTGAATTTTGTAGTGGTTGCAGCAGTTAACATGGACCAACTGAGAATAAATGTCAAGTTAACTGGCAATGACTCCCCTGTTAGTACTTAATGCCAGATTAATGGAGCTGCAGACTCTTGATGTTGGTCTGTGAAACTGGCACAGATCTTAAAGGAAAACAGTGTAGTGGAGCGCTGCGAGAGCAGAGACTTATAAATGAAAACTGATTTCAAGTCCAAGCATTTGTTGCATGTCTTATGGTGCTGCAGACTCTGTGGTCTGTGTGATGCCTTTGACACTTGAGGGGAGAAAAGAAAGATGCAATAGGAACAGGGTGCTTCTCAGCCAAAAGCAGCACATCAGGATGGTTATTAAAGAGTGTTTAGGTCCAGGAATGGATAGATTTGGGTGCTGCTGGAGAGCGATAAATGGCTCAGACCGAGCAGACTGTTGGGACGCCATGGATACTAAACTGTTTGTGTTGCTCCCCGAAATGTTTCCGTTCCCTCCGTTTGAAACCACCACAGCGACGTCATGCTCCGGATTATGAAGCCTGTCGGAACAGAGAGAACATTCATGCACAAATTGGCGTTGTTTCTCTTGAGCAGCGGTTTGAAGTGATTATTCAGTATAATAGCCAACCCAGCTGGCTTAATGAATAATTTGGGCTGCGACTGAGCTGTTCCAGATGGCTGAAATGAAATGCCACCCTTAGCATTTCACCAGTTGGGTGAAGCAGTCATACCAACAGGATGATGATGCTCGTTATTCTGAATTAGCGTTATTTTCGAGGAGCCCACAAAGTATCGTTGAGTGACGCATTCCTCCTGTTGAGGAAGGATTTTAACTGATACTCCTCTTTATCTCTTCTTTCCTGTTGCTCTTACACAGGTAGCAGGGAGACATTACACACAGGGACGGTGATCCGTTGGTTGCCTCAGAGCCTCCCCAACCTCCTGAGGCAGGATGGAGCCCCAGGCTTCCCAGAGGCAGTTAGGAGCAGAGGGGGATTGCGAGATGTCAAATCTACTGGTGCCCAGTCCCCAGAGCGAGGCTGTGACCCATGAGATGGAGGAGCTGTCGCTGCAGCCCACACAGAGCCTGCCTCCGCTCAGTGAACGCAAAAATGGTGAGGATACACTGCACCACACAACATCCACAGTTCATCACTGTGGGCTTCCCACACTTCCTGTCTCTGCTGCAGCACAAACTGAGTGACATTATTTAAAAAGCAGTGAAAAACGGAGAAAAGTGATATGTGTAAATCCCTCTTTCTGTGTTATTCTCTAAGGTGTTAGAGAATAACAAGCATTATTATCAGCTACATGCATACAGATAAAACACAGACAAAATGGTTTCATAGATAAAATCAGCAGAAACCGTGTAAACTGAAGATGCCAAATACTGTATTTGAAGATTGCATGCGTTGATAGTGCACACACTGTCCAATAATGTAAATACAAAGATGTGCAGTCATTAACTGCCACTCTATTAGCCAATCACGCTTCAGTCCTCAACTCCTGATTCCTCCACCAGCTCTGCTTCTAAATCCTCACAGTGTCAGTGTTGTTTTGGCATCCACATGGGACTGAATATGACACTGATGGATGGCTATGCAAATACCAGGCTTTGGGAGCGGGTTCGGTTCACCGCCAGCTTCTAATCGTGGCTTAGACTGGCGTATGGAGACCAGTTAAGCCATTCAGTCCAGTCACTGCGGTATTGATCATGATTCCCAAGAAAATCTTAATTCGTCAGATGCAAGTCAACAAATGCTGCAGTGGGTTTTAATCAAAGCTGCTCCAGACTGGATTTAACACGTTCTGGGTGACTGTAGGATTTCGCAGGAGAAATGGCTTGACTGCGGAAAATTTCTGTGGAATGTCAACAGTAGTAGCACCCACTCATCTCGGCTTTTGTCATTTCCCCTCCAGTGAGAAAACATACCTCATACTTTCCACCCTCTGAGCCCTCCACAGCACTTTGCCAACCGCAGAGTCCCTCCTCTCATATTGGCTTTTATCATGCAGGTGTTAATCTGTCTGCCATCAGACGGCTCTGAGTCTTAAGCTGTGGCGAGCTCAGAGAGTCTGGAGGGAGAGGAGGAGAATTACAGCACCACTATCAGCAGGATGGAGTTTGGAGATTAAGGGTTTTGAGGTTGTTTTGACAAAGATTAGGAGTCTGAAAAGGAAGTAGCCTAAAAATTGAAGTTGGTAAGCAGAAGTTTATATGCAAACAAATAATAAGAATAAAATGAATCTCCACCAAGCTGTTGATTTTCTTTTTATGTTTGCAAATTGTGAGTTCTACCTATAATTAGCTTTGAGTAACTGACTTCTCTGAACAGGAAGTCCATCTCACTTGAGGTGTTTATTTTTGGAATTCGCGGTTTTAAGAAATGGACCAGAACGGGTGATAGACGCGTATCGCACGTGTTCTCTAGCCAAGTGTAGCGCTGGCTGATCTCTTGCAACTCACAAACTTTTCTTTCTCTGTTTGGATGTCACATGACAGGCTGGCGTGCCTAAGCATGAGTAATACAGAAATGCATGACTGTTTCATGGCTGGATGGTCTGTCACGTGGGCAGCTCACAAGCCTCTCAGAAACAGGGTAACGGTGTGTTAATCAGTGTCAGATTTCAGGCCCTCTGCTGTGGAACCAGTTTGGATACAGGAAACGGACACCAGCTCTACTTTTTTTTGATAAAGCTTATAATTAGGCCTGTTTCGGGTGACTCTGAACCCTCCCTTAGTTGTTCTGAAAAAGGCCTGGGCTGCTGGGGACTTCCCATAATGCACTGAGTGTTTCTTCTTAAGTTACCTTTTCACACTCTGTGTTTATCAGTAGTTATTATTGATCTCCGGCTCTCTTCTAAGATGTGAAGTTTGTCCTGCCACCCTGTACAGGGTTTTGGTAGAAGAGATGGTGTGGACGTGTCTGACTGATTTTAATCGAGTATTTTATGAAATTATTGTTTATCAGACTGAGAGCAAGTAAAGAAATAAATACAGGCCACGTTTCCACAAATACAAATGACTTCTCTCTTTTAGGATCACATGTTGAAGCTTATATATAGATCATGTAAAATAGTTTGAAGCCCACAGGGAGGGAAACTTGTAAATAACTCATGAAAGAATGAAGTTATGTTGAAACCAAGCACACCATTGTTTTTCTTGTGACATTGCCAATAAGTTTGATGTGTCACATGACCCTCTTCCTATTGAAAAAAACAAAAGTTGTATCCAAGATGGCCGACTTCTAAACCACCCATCTTGAGGAGTTTGCCCCCTCACATATACTAATGTGCCACAAACAGGACTTTAATATCACCAACCATTCCCATGTTATTACGTGTATCCATATAAATGGCCCACCCTGTATAATCTTTATTTATGATGGGTTTCATTAGGATGTTATCATTACTCATTTAATACTGTCCAAATAAATACACAGCGGTGGTTAGGAGTGCTTTTGACAAACTGCTGAGCTCACCAGCAACACTTTCCATTTCAGCGTCATATTAAGCAGCTGTCAGGGTGTTTGCTAATGTGCGCCTCTGCCAGCGGCTGTGTAATCTCCCTACTGTTAAATTTATTAACAACTGTGAGCAATTAATTGTCTCAGGACAGCTCACACTAACTCAGAGACACTCAGAGCAGGCTGCACTGTTACACAGCCACAAAGGACCAAAGTGCTATACAGAATAATACACGAAAGACGTAAAACGAGAAGGACAATAGAACAAAAGTAAAATTAAAACCTCTCACAAGGTGTCAAAGGTGGGTTTAAAAAACTATTGAGAGGAGGCCCGTCTAATGTGCAAAGGCAAATTGTTCCACATTTTAGGAGCTGCAGCCGGGAAGCAATCAGTATGCCTGATTCATACAGAATACTGGAACTTAGCAGAGACTCTGTGATAAAGACCTTATCTTTTACTCCACCCTGGTTGTCTCCACTTCCTCCGTACTCTGAAACACTTGCACTGTCCAGCATTCAAATATTTTAACAGTAACCATGCTGTTTTTTCCTGTCTCATTTCTCCTTATCTCACAAGTTTGCCTTCAGTGTCTGATTGCTGCAGATTGTTATTAGGAAAACTTTAAAGAAGGGCTTAAAATCAAAAGGTGTCCTGAGTTGTAAACGTTTAAGTAGTTATCTTTTAATTTCTTTTAGTTTAGCAAATCTGAGCAGAGAGGCTGCACTGAAGGCGCAGGCAAAGCAAACGCTTTACAAAGGCAGTCAAACCTGCTGTGTCTCCAAAGTGTTTCTTTCCTAAGTTTTATTGTCGTTAGCCTGCTTACACATAATCTCTAATATATATTGTGTGTGGTACTGGTACTGGTTTAACAACACTCATTTCTTTTACTTCCTTATTTCTGTGTGAGCGCATAAACGCCTCATTCATATCCACAGTTTCCCTTCACACTGCTGAGGTCACAGGTCATCGTGTGTTTGTCAGTCTGAGCGCCGTTTCCCGGAGGAATTCGGGGACGTTGTTTACTGGAAGTCTTAACTGAATCACCTTAAGCATACATGTGTCCACCGAAACCTGGCTCGCAGTGTTTACAGAGCGCAGCGAGAGTCCACGTTACTGATTTTTTTTTTTTTTGAATCTGCAATTATTTCTGTAAATTTTTGACTGGAGCTGCGTTGCCTTTAATGCCAGTTTCGTCTGTAAAATGAGCATCAGTTATGAAAACGATTGGCGGTAAACAGATGGGAAAGACAAAATATTGGTGAGGCAGCTGTTTCCTGTTGTGTCGTAGGAGTTTGTATTTCACAGTAATTTTGACGTGTCCCTTCCTGTGAATACAGAAGTGACTGTACTTGTGCCCGGTGCTTAATCTGTGGGCATTTGCAACTCCCACTCAGTGTATACGTCCCTGTGTGACTGTCTCTTAATGAAATCCCATTAAAGCTGTGTGCTGGTGTTTCTGAGAGAAGCGGTTTCTGCTGAGCATGCAGTTGTTGCTGCCTTTTTACGTCCAGTGTCTTGCAGCGCTGAGTCAGCAACTGCTTTGAAACTCTAAGAAACAGTGCAGTCTGGTGTAGGGTTCCGACTAAACGTTATTTTTAAGGCCGGCTAATCTGCAAATTTTCTTCAATTAGTCGACGATTATCTCAATAACTCTAATCTCTGCTCCCTTTGGGCAAACCTCCTGTTCCAGGCTCCACCTGCTGAAGTCTGCCCACCTGTGAAATCGCCCTGTCAAATAATGACCCAGGAAACATGAATTTTAAAATAATCAGCTGTGTTTTTTACATTGCTCGATAAGACCGTCAGAATAAAAATGAAATGGCTAATATTTTTATTTAATACAAATTAAAGTCCTCATAGTATTTAAACAAAAAATAATGTGCAAATAGGAAAGTAAAAATGGCTGCTGCCCATAAGCTCAAATAAAGCTTCCAATTCAATCAAAAAAGATTTTATTTTCTAGTCCAAAATAACAAGTTTCCAAAGTTTACAGATGATTAATTGGACGTGCTCTGGAGTGAGGCCTGCTCTTATCTTTGAGACGATGTTCCCAGCTGCTGATAACAATGCTCTCTGTCGTGACTTCAGCCATTTGAGAGGTGCAGATTCTTTTCAGGTGCCCCTGTTTAATGCTTTACTATCATATTTCACTCATTAGCTAACAAAACTGACTCGTGTTGGCTTAGCAAACATTCTGAGAAGCTTCCTACAGGTAAGCTAACATAAACATTACTGTACAAACAGCAGCATAAACGAGGTATCAACGCTGCGCGCTCTAAAACTGCGCCGTTCAGTGATGACATCACAGCCCCAGTATGCGGCATTTAAATGCTTGTAATGAAGCAGCATCAATGCTTTGCACTCTGCATTTAACTTTGTTTTCTGTGCTTTTACATTGGGGGGGGAAACCAAACTTTTATTTTTTATTTTTAACATTTCCTTCCATCCTCCTGTTTCGCGCTCCGTTCTTCTTCATTAGTGTTGAGTGCATTCTTAGCAGGCGATATAGGTGATACTGCTCCTGTAGTGTATTGCAGTTACAAAAACACTTTTACGTCTTATGATGTGTCGAGGATACAGACGAGGCAAACAAACTCATCTCAAATTGGTTTCAGTGAAAATGGGAGTAGTGGGAGTAGAGGTGGAGGAGGGGTTAAAGGCTCTGTAGCATAAACATACCACTGTGGGAGGACAAGCTCTTTGGATGGTCTTATTACTCCGTGGTCAAGAGGATGTGACTGGCTTTCAGCTTTTAAACAAAGGTGAATAAATGGTTGATAGAATATCTCTAAACACATGATGCCATTATTAATATTCCTGTCCATGATTTCTCATGTAGTTTAGAACATTTCAACAAAATAATGAAACAAAATGTTGTGTATTGAGTCGTGAGTGTCTTTGTCTGTGTGTCTTTGCTTAGCTAAGAGATAGCTGTGCTTTAGATCTTCACACTGCAGGCTGTCGGTGATGAGTTATGACAGGGCAATTTTTATTGCCTCCCATCCCTGAGCAGCGACTGTTACAGTCACGATTTGAGTCTTACCAGGCAGATTTGAGGAGTGAAGTAACAAAACAATAACAGGGTTTTAGGTTCAATCGCCTAAAACGGCAGAATTCTAATACCTGGGAGAGACTCGCCACGCTAGCGTGCACCTCCTTGTTTAACCCCATTTGTAAAGATGTGATCAGCTGCAGAGCATTTAGCGTGAAAGTCTGCACAGTCATCCTAAACATGAAAATATACGTAACGTCAGCACGATGAGTACGCTGTGAGTTGCATTAGTGAGACATTTTTCTCGTCATCTTTTGGGTTTTCTGTGTTTTTCTTCCCTATTTTATTTCCTCGCTTTCGTAGTTCTCATTAAGCATCAAGCAAGGTTTCTCTTCTTTTTCTCTACATGGCAGTTAAATTTGCTTTTCCATGTTTGCTTTCAGTGCTGCAGCTGAGACTCCAGCAGAGGCGAACCCGGGAGCAGCTGGTGGACCAGGGCATTATGCCACGTGAGTAACTGCAACAGCTATTGTGGCGTGGGTGGGAAATAATAACAAAGTGGTACCCTGGTTCATACTGATAACTCAGGAGACATTTAAAACAATTATGATAATAATTTGTGAATAAAGTAGATGAAAATGTTTTGTATTGCAGCTTTGAAGAGTCCGGCAGCTTTCCACGGGCAGATTCGCAGCTTGGAGAGGGCCCGGGTAAGTTTATGGGAAAAAAACTACATAAATGTAAACTTGAGTTGTTGGTAACAGTAAAATTTAAGTAATTAACTGATCTGTGTCTGCCTTCCTCTCCAGACTGAGAATTTTCTCAAACATAAGATCCGCAGTCGTCCAGAAAGAGCAGAGCTGGTCAGGATGCACATCCTGCAAGGTTCTAATAATTGCCTATTTCACAATGCACAAACTTCTTTTTTTAACAATGCTTTAAGTATTGTTTCCTGTGGTGCTTTAAAGTGTTGAAATAGAAAGACTGATGTCATATTTAAGCAAGAAAGGATGTATTTTTAACTTGATGTTAGAGGATTTAGCTGATTTGATTTATGACTGATTGTATAACAATTTTTATTGTCGTCCCCAGAGACCGGAGCAGAACCTTCACTACAGGCCACTCAGATGAAGCTGAAGAGAGCCCGACTAGCAGACAACCTCAACGAGAAGATCGCCCAGCGACCAGGCCCAATGGAGCTGGTGGAGAAAAACATTTTGCCGGTGGATTCCAGCGTTAAACAAGCCATCATCGGTGAGAACACATGATTTTAGTTTACGTTTAAATTCATCGGTACAAAAAGATGTCTTTGTTTGATCCTTTGAATAATAGTAAAAATTACAAATCTTTTATCATCTTTCAGTGGGCCAGGTGAATTATCCAAAGGTTCTCGAGGAAGACAGCAACGACGCTTTGTCCCCGGAGCAACCGGCCAGCCAGGAGTCCCAGAGCTCTGCGCCCTCACCGGTGGAGAGCAGAGCACCAGAGACGCCCTCTCCAGTAGCACTGCCCAGCACCATCCTGCAGGTCAGCTGGAGGCCCAGACTGTTGTTATTTAATGACAGTGACATTGGAGGTTTTAAGTGTGTCCCCCTCCACCCATTATTTCTTTGCAGCCCGTCCCAAAAACAGACTTCATGAAAGTAATCGCCACCAATGAGCCGCCTGCCAGCCACCCAGCTGTCACACTCACTCATCCAGTCGCTACAGTTGTACCTCCAAAACCAGCCCCAACACTGGTGAAAGTAAGCACAACGCATCTGTTTCCATTTTCTGCTTTTCTCTGACTGTTGTTGAGTTTAACACATGTTAATACTTTTTCCCTCCACGTTTGCTTCCACCAAAGCAAAGTCAGCAGAAAGCTCCCTCAGAGAAGAGTCGCAGTAAGAAGGGCAAGGAGCCGAAGCCGAGGGTGAAAAAGCTTAAGTACCACCAGTATGTTCCCCCAGACCAGAAGCAGGAGGCCAGCGAAGCACCTATGGACTCCTCATACGCCCGGTTACTGCAGCAACAGCAGCTGTTTCTCCAGCTGCAGATCCTCAGCCAGCAGCAGCAGCATTACAACTACCAAACTATATTACCAGCACCGCTCAAGTACGTGTGCAAAGCAAATTACAAATACTAGCCCCGCCCCCCCGTGTTAACATTGAAACCAGTGTTATTCTGCAGTTTTATTTCTACCTGTACTTCAGATGGGTTTCTTTCTATTTTTGTGTTTCTAAACTAGTTTGGCTTGCTTGACATTTGATTTTTAATTATGAAACAAAGCCAAATATTGTTGTTTTCAACAACACAGAGGGGCAGAGCGCCAATAACAGGCTTGTGCCTAATCATATTGATAACTAACAGGATGTTGATGAACCAGCTGCTGTTTTCGTGAAAGTCCTGGCAGCAGCGGTGTAGCGAAGCTGTCTTTGAAATCGCTGTTGGCCTGTGATTTGGTTGACTGGTGTTGTTAGTGAGGCAAGAGGAACAGGATGGATGGGCTGTTTGAACCCATTTCCTCTCCTTGTTTTCTTCTTTCTGCCTTTCTTCTCTCTATAACAACACCGTCCCTCTCTCCCACCTCCACTTCCTCTTTTTTGTTTCATATTCCTGTAATTCAGAAATGATTTCCTTAAAAAAACAATCACCTCATCTTTGTTTGTCTTTTCCCCTCCCCCTCTGCTGCAGACCTGTGGCAGAGGGTCAGAATAACGGTGGGAGTACACTGCCAACTTCTATTGTGGTGTCTTTGCCCACTGCACCTCCCCCTGCTGCTCTGCCTTCAGCAATGGCCCGGCCAAACAACTCGCTGTCCAACCGCAAACCCGGTGTCCTGCCTGCCAACCTGGAAGAGATGAAGGTATTTGTTCAAAATCACATTCCCAGGCACTTTGGAAATTTCTGTTTAACTGACTCAGAGAAAAATAACATAGACAAAAGTACTGGATGACTACTCCTTAATCTTTGAATTCTTTTTTTTTTTTTTCAGTCCCATTGCTGCAGGTGTCACCTAGCTATGCATTTAGCCTTTATAGATGTTTGTGAAAAAACTCGGCCTTCTAAAGAACTGACTGAATTGAAGTGTTTTGCTATAATAAGATGCAACCCTGCAACAAGCCGCAAAGTGTCAGACCATGTAAAGTTACAGAGCAGATGTAAAAGTCTGGCTTGTTTGGCAGAGGAAGTCCTAGCCTCCTCTGGCATTAACATCAGCACAAAAACGGTGCACCGTGAGCTTCCTGACACGGGTTTGCTTGGCAGCTCCTGTGGGTGCGATCTTTGTTGAATCGTTAAAAACTTAACATCATGTAAAGTTGCAGAGTGCCAATGCACAAAGTGTGTAAAGTTGTGCTCTGCTGACTCAGTAACTACAGCGTTCCAAACATTAACATCAGCACAAAAACTGTACACTGCAGTTTTACAGCTGTAGGTGTCGGTGCCACAGTACTTACGTCTGTAGGAAAGACTTTGTGCTGAAGTGTGGTATTTGCTTTATTACAGTGTTATTAGAGAAGATTAATGCCACTATGACGCCTGCGCACTAAATCAGAAACTCCAACCTGAAGCAGCGTGTCTTCGCACAAAGCCTGAAAACTGCAGCACGTATGAAGTCAGGCGTTTGTGGCTGGTATTTGTTGGTTTTATGATGGCTCATCATGAGTCATACAAGATATGATGTGCTTTAGACGTGCTGTTTGGTGGATTGTTGTCCCTTTAAGCACAGCCAACATGTTTCCACATTTTTCCACGTCTTAATGCAAAGCCAACCATCTGCTGTCTCCAGCTACAAATTTAACAAACACACATGAATTATGTTAATCTTTTTTTTCTCTTCTAATTCTTGGCAATAAAATGAGCACATTTCCAAAGAGAGTGAACTGCTCCTGTAAAAATAGACTACTAAAGTCTAAAATCTGATGCTGACATGATCCTCCTTTTGTCTTCCCAGGTGGCCGAGCTGAAACTAGAGCTGAAGCTTCGTGGCCTCCCAGTGTCGGGAACAAAGACGGATCTGATAGAAAGACTGAAGCCTTTCCAGGACAATCCCAGCACCACTGCTGCTGCCAGCATACCCACTCCTGCCACTACTACCCTATCTGCCATCCCCATGGAGGTTACCACAACTACCACACCTGCTGTAGTCCCAGTCCAGCAGGTGGCTCCAGAGAGCATGAGCTCTACGCCGCCTGTTTCACCTGTTCCTTTTGATCTCTCCGCCCTCCAGCAGGATGTAGGGATGTCTGAGGGTCTGTCTGAAATTCAAATGCTGACCTCGTTAGGGCCACAGTCCTCACAGTCTTTCAAAGTCCCAGAGGAAAAGGACAGAAGGCTCCACGAGAAGGAGCGGCAGATAGAAGAGCTGATGAGGAAGCTGGAGCAGGAGCAGAAGCTGGTGGAGGTGCTGAAGATGCAACTGGAAGTGGAGAAGAGAGGTCAGGGTGACTCTGCCTCTATGTCCCCCAAGATCGCTCCAGGAGCTGCTGTGAATTCTGTTCCTCCTGTCCTCAACTCTAACCTGGTGAAAGTCGAAGGTGCAGTCCTGTCAAATTGTTCATCGACTGCTGCTATCCCAAGCTCAATCCTGGGTTCACAGGCACTCTCAGCACCCGTGGCAGGAGTGGTGAAGTTGGAGGATGTGACCGTTTCTTCTGGCAAGCCGCTGCAGACCCAAACCAAGCTCATCACACAAATCCAGGCCCCAGGTCAGCCTCAAGTAACCAGCAGCCCACAGCTCCTCTCGCAGTCCCAGAAAAGTCCCAAACTGCGAGCCCAGCCACAGTCCCAGCCTACACCCCCCAGCCTGCAGCAGTTCTTCATCAGCCACTCGGGTGGTGTTTCCCAGGTGTTGGGTCAGCCTCAGACTTTGTTGACAGCAACTGGCCAAGCTGGAACACAGATCCTCCTTCCAGTGTCACTGCCCAACAACGCTGCTGCAATCCAGCTGCCAAGCACCACCGTCAGCCTGCAGGTGAGTGAGCCAGTGGCGTAGCATGGCAGAGGGTGTCACAGAGTAAGCGCGTGTTGATCTACTATAAACTCATCTTGGCATTATTAATGATAATCTTAATATAAAACCTAGAAAGAACCATCTCGACTCATCCTCTGTAAAGTTGAGGTCTTAAGATCTCGCATGTCTTTCCTCTGCACTAGCCTGTTCTCCAGGCCACAGTCTCAAACCCAGGCCTGGTCCATTCCTCAGTCCCTCAGCTGCAGACCACCAAGGTGGAGATGGCACCCAGCCAGCAGCCGCTGCTACAAGTGAGTCACGTCTCATTAGTAGTTCCAGTTAGCTCTACACAAAAGCCACAAAGACCTGTGATGCACAGAGGTCTGATGTCAGACTCTCTCATGTCTTGGCAGACTCTGACTATGTGCAATAACACTGCTGGCTTGGAGAACCAGAGTAGACCTGAGATGAATCCCCAGTGCTTTTTGAGAAGCTCCCCAGAGAATAAGCTCTCTCCACGAGCATCACCCAACCATCGAATCTCCAACGGGCCCCTCAATAAGGTGTCTATCAGGAATTCAGCATTTTTCTGAACTTAACTCTTCAGATCTTCACATATTTCTCTGACTTGATCTTTTCTCTGTCATCTTTGCAGCCTTCCTCTCCTCAGCCCACCTTCATCTTCCAGCCCACCTCCCTGGTTCCCCAGCCTCCTAAGACCAGAGAGCCTCCCCGCTATGAGGAGGCCATCAAACAGAGCCGCAGTCTTCACATCAACAACGTTTCACAGGTTAGATGAAAACAAGCCACAGCTGACACACACACTACTGAAACTGATGTGTGCAGAGTACAGAGAAGCATAAAAAACGTAGGCGTATACTTCCAGTTTTTCCAGCCTTGAGCAGCTTTTTCGTTTTTGGTTACAAAGCGTCGAGTCTCTTAACGTCCTTAAATGTCTTTTCAGGTTCCCACAGCAACCAGCCAGCAAATGGACGACCTGTTTGACATCCTTATAGAGAGCGGAGGTAAGTTGGTGCACACTGACGGTGCAAAGCAAAACTGTTCTGTTCAGTGTGAAGAAGTTTAAAAAGCCCCAAGTGTCAGAGAAACGGTGAATAAGCTGCTGTGTGGGCAGATTTGATGTCAGTACGCATTTTAAATTGGCAGATTCGAGCTGATTGTGGCTGATCTGATATCAGCCTTTTGGATATTATGTATAACAGAGACCACGTACCGTGTAAACCGCAGACTGCCAAAAGGGGTTACTTTTACTCAAGTAATTTGGAAATGTGAATTTGACTTTTTCTGCATTGATGAGTCATAAAATGCTCCGATCGTCCTCACACTGCCGACTAATAAAAAGCGAGAGACTCTGAATTCACCATGACAGCAACTTCTATAAAAGCTTCTAGGAGTTGTTTTTAAGGTTAATGAGACGAGATTAGAAGGGACGTTCGTGGAGGCTTTCCTCCTTTAAAAATAAACCTCCTCAATAAATTAGAGATGCACATCCCTAAAAACCACTTCACAAAGCACCACTGCTATTCTGCTTGTGAGTGACACACAATCTTGAAAGAAGTGAAGAAGAACCTAAAGAGAGCACTAACACAGCCACACCCACCTCCATAACTTCTCTGAAATCTTTGTTGGTGTGTCCAACTAAAAACTCTGTACAAGTGTTCAAAGCTGACAACTCCAGAACAAAGTTGTGTGACATGTGAGAGTCACATGTTACTCTTTTAACTGTGAAGCGCTCGTTTTCAGAGGGGCAAAGGCTCGGTGCTGCTTTGCTACATGAGTGTGTGGATGCCTTGTGAGCATTAAAGGAACAAATCATTTAAAACTGTAATTTGAGGGAGAGGATGAGGGAAAGAGTCTGTATCCTGAAGCTTAGGAGAGATTGGCTGATGCAATAAGACGATAACTTAAAGCACACGAGCTGATCAATGATCAAAGAAGGAAACTCATCCTTTGAAATGGCTGTTTTTTTTTTCCCAGCAAGTTATTGACCCATAAGTAAGCCTCATAATTGGCTTAAAGGATGTGATTTATTTCTACAGCCTGAACTCTGTTTAAAAACCGATACGATCTAAGATCACTTTATAAATGAGTTCTTTTTTTAGATCCACTGTGGACAAACTAACATGTTTAAATATGTCAGTTTTTAATCTGCATCCTTATTTGATCTTTGTTTTCCCGCCTGCAGAAATCACTCCATTTATCCATCAGAACTCACCGGTGTCTCACCCCAAGACTCTCCCTGTCACAGCCAGCATCACCACCCTTCCAGTCAACACCGTCCTGTCCAGACCGCCCCCGCAGGTCCAGGTAGCCCCTCCTTCCATGCTTGTGAACCCGTGCTTGCCCGGTCTATCGTCCCTGGCCACAGACAATCAGCTGGAAGCCTTTCTAGAGGGGACGCTGGCCGAGACGCCGTCTGCGTCAGACCCTCGCACGCAGGGCCTGATGGAGGAGCTGCAGGCCCAGCTCATGGACCAGCAGCCCTTCTCACCCATGGACACGTCAGAGCTGTCTTTCTGCGATTCCTCCTCGCCCTCATCCTCACTCAACATGGGCCTGTCAGACCCGGCCCTGGACAACATGGAGTGGCTGGACCTCACCATGCCGCCGGGTCCTGGCGGGATGCTGACACCACTGGGGATCCCAACGGACTTCCTGGATACACATGACCTGCACTGGGACTGATGGAGGCTTTGATGATGAAGATGGAGAAGTGTGAAAGATGGATGGATGGATGGATGGATGAAGGGAAAGCTTCAGAGATTTTAAATAAAAAAGAATAGTAATAATAATACATAAAAGGAGAAAACATGGCCTTTAAGTGCCATACCACTCTTACCAGTACATCCATACCATCTGTAATATTCCCACTACTCTAGAGGAAGAGAGGCTGACCCGAGCAGAACTACAAGCAGGAGTTTGCACAGCTTTAGGAGAGAGTCCCGTAACGGCTCGGCGGCCTGGAAAACGTCCGCCGAAAGGTGACTGCGGTCACGCTGCGCTGCAATAAAGGGATTTTTAATCAGAATAGACTTTTTAGTGTCTGATGTCATGATTTTAGCAATCATAAACAGAGCCAAGGAGACGGAGCCAAATGCTGAATGGAAGAACAGACTGTTTGTAAATAGAGTTTAAACCACACTAAGAAAACTGAGCTGAGGGGATCATTTCTAGTAGAGGTAGAGGAAAACTGCATCTGTTTTACTCATCGTGATAGATCAACGTGTCAGACAGTTCCTGAAGGTCTGATATGAATTACACTCGTGAGTGCTGTCACATGCTAGGTTAGAAAAGCTGGTGATTACAACATGACTGGAGGCTCAGACTAAAAGGAGACTTGAGTCTCTATAACGACGCACCCGATGCTAAGCCCGGGGTTATACACTCGGCTAGCTGCCAGACTGAGGTGTGAAGGAATGTCTGAATGAAGTCGAGCCTCTGTTCGCACTGGTCCGTGATTTGTTTGTAACAGATGTGACTGTTTTCTCCTGACCTACCGTTGACTCCCATCAGTCAAGCTGATCAACCAATGACTCTAAAGAACAACACGACGACGAGAGGAGGAGGCGGCGGCTCCTCCCATCGACGTGAGAGCTATGCACTAAAGAGGCGCACAAATCTGACGACGCACCTCGCTGACCTCAGAACAAGGAAATGTGAACACTGCATATCCAAGGCGATCGTCACGACTGTGACATAAGATCACGTTGCCACTGGCTGCACAGATACTGCAGTTGTCCAAGTCGCGAATTGTGAATGTACTTTTAAAAAGTGGGACTTAACTCTAAAAAAAAGTTGGCAGCTTTTTTTTTTTCCTTCTTCTTCTGATTAGCGAAACAGGAAAGGGAACAAGTATCAATTTGCAGACACACATCTGTAATAGGTGTGCTGCCAGTTATCGGAAGACGTCTTTGAGCTTTAAATCTGGGTGTCCCGCAGTATGCCTGCACTTTGTGTGTGCGAGACAGGAGAGGAAATTGCTCTAGTTTTTAAAAAAGAGATGGGTTGCTTTGGTTCACAAGCCTTTTCAATACGGGATCGACTGCTGATTGGAGGAATCGGAATACTCTAAAATCATACTCCGCTGGTTTAAGGGCGATACATCAGCTGCTGTGGCTTGTACACAAAGTCAGTTTCCGGGCAGTGTGTGAGAGAAGCATGCCCCTCTGTGTGTGTGTGTGTGTGTGTGTGTGACTGTGTTTGTTTGTCCTTGTCTTTCCGTCTCTTGCATGTACAGCCGTGTCTCCGTGTGCATGATCGTACTCGTGTTTGGTCTCTGGCTGCTTCAAACTCTGCTGCCGCCCTGAAGTTGTCTAAAGGAATTTACAAAACATCTCCCAACTCCAATCATTTGCAACCTGCTTTGCATATTCCAAATTTGTCTCTTTGTAAGGCTCCCGATGACTGTTTTACTGTTTTTTCTTGTATCTGTGTCGTTCCTTCGGAGTAAAGTTTTTTTTAAAAAGAGAAACGCAGACACCTTTACAGTGTGATGCACGGCAGGAAGTAGTCAGTGAAGGCGGCCTTTTAATTGAAGGCATCAAAGTTCACTCACCTGAATATTAATTCTTTGTATTTGTTTATGTTTTTGGGACAGATGCAGTGTAACTGTGTGGGACTTTTTTTATATTTTAAGACTTTTTTTAATGTTCTTTTTATATCAGTCAGTGAAATCACGTTTACATTTTAACCACTTTATCCTGTTATTATGGTCGCAGGCAGTAGAGGGCGATGTTTCACTTCTCTTGTGGCTTCACGGCAGATCTTCAACAGCAGCTGTTGATACTTCAGGGTAACAGAAACAGGGAAAAAACTAGCAAATTAGGCAAAAATGTTTAGATTTTTTTTTTTTTTTTTTGCCTGTAAAAGCAGTGATGTGGAGGCCCGAGCGGACTCTCTTCCTGCTGCGGTCCCACATTGTATCACCTGATCAGGCCAGGACTCGCAGATGTGCTCGGATCCCAAACGAAAAGCGAAACGCCAAATGCTGCACACACTTCCTTCTCAGCTTCTGCTGCTTCGTCTTTCAGCTTGTTTTAACAAACTCTCGTCAAGCCCACGCTCCTTCAGAGACGAGCTCGTATTCTCGTTTACCTCTGCTTCGTGGAGCGCACTGCGACGAGTAAAACGTACGGTGAAAGTCACTGGCTGATTCATGTTCAACGCGTTTTTCCTCCTTCTGATTGTCAGCGTTAAAGGCTGTCACGTTCGATACGTTGTTGCCAAAAAGGCAGTGAAACATTATATTTCTCACTCTCATTTTTTTATTTTTTGTATCTCTTTTCTCTTTGTAGAATTAAAGTAAAAGATTCAACATTTAATCTTGTTTTATGTGTATATTTTTGTTTTTTGTTTTTCTAAGACAAAATCTTTCATATCAGATAAACATAAATCTCTTTGCTGGAGTAAATCCGCACGTTTGTGATGCGACGCAACTCCCAGCTCGCTATTGTGGCTGCTGACTGGCCCAGGCAAGGACAGCTAAAAGCAATAATAGCTGCTCTCCCTCGACGTATGCTGTACTGTGTGTCAGATCCTGCCTTGATTTTATTCGTGTAAGAGCCTTTACTACAGAGTAATACAGTTCAGACGCACTTCATTACCCGGGAGGGGGAGGGAGGGGTGTGTGTCAGGATTGAAATAACTCATTTTTCTCGTGGAAGAATTCCTGCAGGTTTTCTGAACATTGCTGTTTGCTTGTTAGACTTCAGCTACCTGCTCCTGCTCTCTTTATTCACCTGCACTGTTTATCATCCTGTGAACACTGTATATTTGTTGGTGGAACAAAGCTCTGTGGAGGATATTTAATTTACAAATGAGGCACTGAGAGGCTCCATCCTCAATCGCAGATTGACGCTGAAAGGTTAAAAACTAAGGCTTCGCATTGTTAGTAGTTCTAGTCCCCTCTCTTTATCGCCGCCTCCCATGCCATGCCTCTTGTTGTTTGTAACGCCATATGTTTTGCACATTGTGTACATATTTATATAGATGTAATGCATATTTTTATACATGTGTAACATCCATGGGCTCTCTATTTTGTAAATACTCAAAAAGATGTATATAAGTACTGTATGCTTTTATGTGTCAATAAAGATTTGGTGTACTGTGAAAACCTTTTGGTCCATATTGAGATTTGTCGACATTATCTGAACTATTTGACTCTACATCACATCCCAAAGATGGTCTGTTGGACTGAGATCTGCTGACTGTGAAGGCCGTTTGAGGACAGTAACCTCTGTCATGTTTACAGAGCCTGTTTGAGCTTTGTGACATTTAAATGACGTCATTGCATTTTACCCAGAGAAATGACGCTCAATGGATATTTTCTCTTTATTGAAAAATATTTTGTCTGTGAACACTAATGATGGTTGTGTGGGGAAAATCCCAGCTCGTCAGCAGTTTGTCAGATACTCAGATCAGCCTGTCTGGCACCAACAACTACGTCACACTCATTTACCTTACTAACTCATTCTGGTGCTCAGGTTAAACTTCAGCAGTTTTTTTCCCCCCCCAAATGTCTGTTTGGCTAAATCAGGGGTAGGCAACCTTTCTGATGATGAGTGCCATCTAAACTTTCCTCAGAAGTCAATGTGCCATATGATTGCATTAGCAATAACACTCTATATTAACAGTTACACACTATATAGAACTTTATAGAATTATATTTGTTCGCAGATGGTTGGCAGTTATCAGCGAATAGTTATCAGCTATTTTGAAACAAACAAAAAAAAGACACACTTTATCCATAACAGCAAATGAACTGTACAACAGAAAATGCAAATGCTATTTATGGTCTCCTCACAACAATGGTGATAAAAATAAACTGAGCCAATATGGCATGTTTGTTAATACACTCTGATCTCTGGTCTCCCACCTCCCACTCAGAGACACAAGTCTCCAAGTGTCCAGCATTCAGACGGCTACCTGAGGACACTCATGTGAGAGAAAATCTGCTCACACAGACATGTAGAGCCAAATACTGTCAATAAGGCCTCTGCAGTGTTCTGAAGACAGTTAAACTTGTCAGGTGGTGATGTCCATCAGGTGAAAATACAAGCTCCATGAACACGCACAGCTATGCACCAGCTGCGTCTGTAGTTCTGCAAACTTTGACCCCCACAGACTCGAGCTTTTCAGTTCAATCAGCTGCATTTCGATGTCCTCTGTGTCCAGCCAGTTAATGCGAGACAAACCCAGCTGCTCATTAAAGCTTTCTGGATTGATCAGAAAATAAAACATTGGTCCATACATCTGAAAGTCCCGAAAATGCATTCTGTCTCGAGTCTACAGATGTATCCGTGTATTTCCGTGGTGCTGATGCTGCGCTGAGCGGACAGCCCCTGAAAGTGTCGGAATCAGGGGCGGAGCGTGGGGTGGCTTACTGGGCTTAAGCCCGGGTTGTTTTGTCAGAAGCCCGGGGTCTTTTGGAGTGTAATTTTTTCATAGTTAGATGCCTGGCTGACAACTGCATAAAACAAAAAGTACACACAATATTCGAAGCACATAGTGCACACTGTGGGAATTTACGACTGTGCGTGAATCCCCCCTGATATTGGTATGATCCGAGCTCAGGCACTAAGCGACTGAGCGAGGGGGCGGGGCAGCTGCTGCCTGTGAGTGCGCTGTTGGAGAAACAGAGCCAGCCATACTAAGGAGAGCTTAAGTTTGACCAGGTAGCAAAGCAAATCATTCCTACCGTACAAATCATGTAAATATGACGGTGAATCACGAAAGACTGATATCAAACTGATCACTTGACCCATATTACGTTACTTGCTCTTCAAGTGAATCAACAAATGGCGAAATGAAAAGCCGAAGAAATGCTATTTTTTTAGAGTCTTAGCTTACATGTGTGTTTATTTCATATTTTCAGTTCTTACCCTCCCCGACTTGATCGGTTTCAGTTATGTACTGAAATATAAGAATGGACATTAGAGGCTTCTTTCAAAGAAAAAACTCAGGTAAATGTTATTTTATATATTATGCTTTGTATGTTTTTCAGTATATTTCTATGCAAAACAAGAGGAATTTCAGTGCACAGCAGTATATTCACATTTGTAACCAGATATTTACATACACTTTAGGGAGAAAACACAAAGGTGAAAAGCCTTCTTTTCACCTAAATACGAAACGCGTAATATTTTCTCTGAATACGAGACGATTCCGTTTCTTAAGGGGTGGTTGGCAACTCTACTAACCTTATGAATAAAATAAAGTTCACTATCAGTAACATCAAAGCACCCACCCAGCTGTATATAAACTCCATCATGCTAGCTAGCACGCAGTACAAGTTATACAGTACACCTAAACTTGGTTTATATCTGACCCAGATAGACTGCAGGTCATAACTTCTTACCTGAAGTTCAGTTCACCTGATACTCCTCCTCCTGCCTCCCCTTTCCCTCATCCACCTGCTGGCCTCTGTGGAAGCTCCGCCATAGCCACCACCAGAGGTGTGGACTCGAGTCACATGACTTGGACTCGAGTCAGACTCGAGTCATTAATTTTATGACTTTAGACTTGACTTGAAAAAATGTTCTAAGACTTGTGACTTGACTTGGACTTTTACACCAATGACCTGGGACTTGAATTGGACTTGAACCGTTTACTTGAAAAGACTTGATATTTTACCCCAAATATAAAATTTAACATGCATATTATATAGAGATTGAAAATGTGACGTCATTCAGGGGTAAAACCGCAAAGGATTCTGGGAACTCGTGGCAAGAGGTACTAGCGCACGCAGGCTTTCAATTGAAATCAGTTAACAGCGATAAAAAGAAACACAAAAATGTCAAGAAGCTGTTGTATTATTAACTGCAATAGCCGGTCGCATGACAGCCACGGGAAGCCGACGGGTAAAGAGATCGGTTGTTATCGGATTACGTCGTTGAAGAGAAATTGTTCGAGCCATGTTTCCGAAGTAACAAAGAGGCGACTGGATTGCAGCCATTCAAAGACCAAATATAACGTCCCAGAACACTCCAGCTCACAGGTTAGTCTGCTCCAAGCATCCACAAAGGTCAGTCTGCTGTTGTAGTTAATCGTCATTTTCTTAACATAATTGGTGATATAGGTTACAAGCAAGTCTGGCGCTGAACAGAAATTGTCGCGCTATGCTCCTTTGTTTATTGTGCATAAATAGTGAATTGTCCTGACACAATATTGCGTTTCGCTTCTGTTATTATGGTACATTGACAAAAACATATACTTTTATTCACAGGATAAAACAGTTGTTTTGTATCACTAATTGCCCAGTACGATTACAGCATACATATTATTGTCACTGCTACATTTCTGTGATGCTACCAGAAATTATTTCCACTACTAATTAATTACCGTTGAGCTCAAAGGTTATATTAATAAACGGTTAACGAATGTGTATTTATGACGACGATTTGTGAGACTGGTAAACTTATGATACGTACGATGGTCTTTCGTTCTACACGGTGCATTTCAAGGTCCTGCACCCATCCGTCGGTAAACTGTACCTGGGCTTGTTGCAGTGACCGGAAGTTACTAAACTTCAGAGTGTATGCACTCACTCCAAGAACCGTATAATTATAAATATGCATATAAATATGCTACAATGAGATAGCTGACTTCATCTAACTAGCAAATGTTTCCAGGCTACGTTGGTGATGCAGTTTTTTTTTAAATGATATTTAAAAAAAATATTTTATATGTATGATATTTTTGTCATGCGATTTTAAAGCCGGTCCTACAACCGCATCCAAGAATAACATGCAGCTTATCTCAGAACTGTCGGTGAAAATTATTCTTGGAGCTAGGTTTAATTGAGCTGCATTTTAAAGAGGTGCAATTTCACAATTTGTGTATATTTTCTAAGTTCACTATTTTGTCATGTGTTGAGAAAAACACAGATTTAAAAATTACATGGTCTAATATTTACATTTAGCATAACTGCAACATCTTTTTTCGTTTTTTTTTAAAGACTCGAAAGGACTTGAAATTCAAAGTTTCAGACTTGTGACTTGACTCGGACTTTTACACCAGTGACTTGAGACTCGACTCTGACTTGCCTGACATTACTTGAGACTTGACTTGAGACTTGAGGATAAAGACTTGAGACTTACTTGAGACTTGCAAAACAATGACTTGGTCCCACCTCTGGCCACCACCAAACAACTGAGTCATTTTTACACATCTGCCAGCACCTGGTCAATCCTCCACCTTTCATTGTTTATACTGTTACAGAAATTTAAAAAAAAAAAAAAATCATCGGGCACATATGGTCGTGCCATCAGTTAACCCTTCGCGTGCCCAGAGTTGCTGACCCCTGGGCTAAATGAATTGGGTTTCTGCAATGTGATTGGCCGATTAAATCTCCTATATCTTAACAAGCAGTTGAACAGGTGTATCAAAGTGGATGATACAAACTGAAAGACCTACACAGTTCCCGCTGCCTCAAAAGAGCCCATAACATCATAAAGAACACTTCACACCCTGGACACTCCATGTTCGAACTGCTGCCTTCAGGTAAACGGTATAGAACAACATACACAAGGACTAACAGACTCAAACACAGTTTCTACCCAATTGCAATATCATGTCTCAATGCTACTAAAAGTAGATGACTTTTATTGCCCCTGTTGTCACTTGTACCCTTGATGTTGGAATGCTTTCAGATATGTTTTGTTGGATGCGCTAACAAATTGACTGAGTGATTGATTGTTTGAGTGATATATCAACTAGGTCGTATGTGGAGTGTCTGTATGGGGCCTTAGGCCTGGATTGCTTGGGTGTATTTACTGTATGAGAATACTGTATTTTATATGTATTTCTATCTTTTATATCCTATCTATTATAGTTTTTAAGTATTTATCTTTCGTGATGTTGCACTGACCGGAGACATCTTTCAATTTCATTGTACTTGTGACAATGACAATAAAGAATATTCATTATATTCATTATTCATTCATATTCATTTCAAAGTGCATTTGTTTGCATCAAGAGTAACAATTATGAACACGCACACGGATGGTCAGCTTCATCAATATACAGTATTGTATATAGTGTCGTCAATAAAAAGTATTTTTACTTCCTGATATTATTTTTTTTGTATATTTCTCACACTTCATGCTCCAGATCATAAAAACAGATTTTAATATTCAAGGAAGATAACCCAACTATATAGAAAGTTCAGTTTTTAGAAGATTATTTAATTTATTAAGGTATAAAGAGTTATCCAAACCTTCCTGGCCCTGTGTGAAAAAGTATTACCTCTAACCCTAATGACTGGTTGTGCCACCCTTGGCACCAAGAACTGCAGTAAAGCGTTTGTAATCACTAGTAATGAATCTTTCACATCGCTGTGGAGGAATTTTGGCCCACTCTTCTTTGAACAGTTGTTGTTATTCAGCCATATTTGAACATTTTTGAACATTAATGTCCTCTTTATGATCTGTACAAAGTCTGTCAGTTGGATTTGAGTCCTTACTAGTAATTGGAGCCATTCAGAGGTGGACTTACTGGTTTATTTACGATTGTCCTGCTGCATAAACCAAGTCTGCTTAGGCTTCATGGCACAAAGTAATGGAGGGATATTCTCCTGGCAGCAGAATTCATGGTTCTGTCACTTACAGCAAGTCATCCAGGTCCCAAAGCAGCAAAGCAGCCCCGGAGCATCACACAACACCTCCATGTTTGACTGTTGGTTTGGTGTTTTATGAAATGCTGTGATGGTTTTGCGTCAGATGTAATGGGACTCCAATCCTGTCTCATCAAGCCAGAGAATCTTTTCATCAAAAGTCTTGGGGATCATCAAAACGTTTGATGAAGCCTTTTTTTCCCCGTTTTGCTCAGCAGTGGATTCCATTTTTGCTCAGTCTCTTTCTTACGGTTCAATCATGAACCTCCTTGGAAGGTTCACCACTTTTCCAGTGGTGATCCAGTGTAGCGATCCATCCATCCATTCGCTTTTGCTTATCCTTTTCAGGGTCGCGGGGGCTGCCGGAGCCTATCCCAGCTGTCATAGGGCAGCCACCGTGCTGCCCTCCAGTGTAGCTAGACAAACTGAAATCAGCTAAAAAATTTAGTTAATTTATGATTTAAAAACTGGGGGGCAATCAGTTTTTCACATTGTGCCAGCCTGGTTGGGGTAGCCCTTTTCCCTTTTTGAATGAAATCATAAAAAAATTGCATTTTGTAATTATTCTGGTTAGTTTTGACTACTATTAAAATTTACTTGTGTGACAAATATGTGAAAAAAGAAAAGAAATCAGAGAAAATACTTTTTCACAATAAAAGAGAGTTCTTCCTCCCTACTATCACCAAGTGCCTGGTGTAATAGGAGATCATTCAGTCACTGAGTTAGAGTGATTATCTCATAGCAAACAGCATTTTGTGAAGCTGTTGTGGCACTGTGTGAATCATTTGCATCTGTACAGAACTGTATGTACAACAAATACACTTCATCAAGGAAACCGGTCAGATAATTGATCGAAAAATAGCAGCATGAAGATCTTGATCCTTGATTTGAGTTTGCTCAAAGTTATTTCTGGCTAAGAGGAACAAACATGAAGCCGTCAAACTGTTGAAGGGAGTAATATTTGAATACCACTATTTGCATCTGCTTACTGGAAGATAGAATAAGCAGATAACAAATACATATTTCCTTTAGCTATATCTCACTGAATTATGAGCAGATTTTCAGAGGGAGAGGAACTATTTACAGCAGCTCTGCTATCCTGAGCCTTTGGACAGTACAGATGTAGCATCAATGCCAAAAAAAAGTTCTAAAGTTCTCCAGGTGTTGTGCACAGTCCCATATTATTCCAGCTCGCAGGTCAAAGTTTGACAGCAATACTGCAGGGCAGCAAAGGCTGTTTGGACCCAAGCAGCTCCAAGACGCAGGAAAAGTCTCTCAAGTGCAGGAAGTGAGGATTGTATTGTTGTTACTCCAGTAATCTTGTTGTCAGAATGGCTTGAAGGTGTGTATTGTGGACTGACAGTGTGGACACTGGTGAAGAACGTCCTTGAAGTTTTTCATGCAGAAAGGGATTATACAGCAGCCGCCAACACAGCTGTTAGAAAGAGAAGGAAAGGTCACAGATCAATCTGAGGCGACTGTTTTTGGTGCTATTAGTTAGTGCTACAGTGTGCCTTGTATCATGTGCATGCGTTCTTAACGAATGAATTTTTTGACATCATCCTGGTCAGGTAGAAGACGTACCCTAACATGGAGCACAAGCAGCACGCTAACCAAGTTGTCTCGCCCACTTTCCTTTGGGTTTGTGTGATGATGAGCTCTTTGCAGGTCGGACACTGGGTGAGCCCGGCGTCTCTGCACAGAGTTTCAACTTTGCCGGGGAAAGAGACAAAAAGAGAGAAAAACTGGAATGAGCTTAATTAAAAACCAAAAACAGCCCCCTGGTTTTATTCAAATGCAGGTGTCGGCGTGTTCATACAGCTAGTAAACAGATGCATTCAGTATACAAGGAAATATTTCATTGCAGCAATATCTGTCTAAAAAGTTACACAATATTCAAAGAAAGAGGGAACCAGGTGTCGACATATATAAACACTAGTTTGTGTCCTAGAGGAAAAGTGTAACACACCTGGAGCGATGTCATCTTCTGGTGTTTCTATTGGTATTTCAGGTTCAGTTTCTACAGGTTCTTCAGGGTCTTCAGGGTCTTCAGGGTCTTCGGGGTCTTCGGGTCCTATGCTCTCCTCCTGGGTCACCTCTGCAGGCGGCAGCGTGTAGATCCCTCCCCAGGGTGTTTCATTTTTATAAAAACTGGGGTCTGCTTGATGAACTTGGTGATTAAAAAAGAATAAAACAAAAGCAGTTCAAACTTTAGCTTTAAATGGGCCACGTTTAAAAGAAAATCTCATTCTGTCTATTTCACTTCAGCCATGAACGCATTACTCTATGAAGCCCCTCCCCTAAAATGCCATTATCTCCATTTCAGATTACCTTTACATCACTTTCACTGATTATTTTAATATGTTTAACATGAAAATCTGACAGTGTATCATTATATATTAAACACAGACGGACACAAAAAGGGAAAAGAATATTATTTTCTTCATAAACTGGTAACAGTATGAAAGTTTTCATATTTTCAAATCCATTCAATTTAGTTTTGTTTATATGCCTCAAGTCGCTTTACATTGTAAGGTAAAGATCCTAAAATAACACAAAGAAAATAATCATATAACCCTCTATGAGCAGGAACTTTGATGAAAGTGGGAAGAAAAAACTCCCTTTTAAGAGGAAGAAACGTCCAGCAGAACCAGGCTTGGGGAGGGGCAGTCGTTTCTAAAGGGACAGTTTAATCCAACATTTTTCATCTGTGGTTTTCAGTACTAATTATACATCCGTGTGCCTCTCGCTTCCTGTAAGTTACCCAATTTTGAAGATATAAATATGTAAGGAATTCTGAATATACTGTGCAAAAGTCTGGAGCCACCACTCATTTCTTTATATTTTGCAAGGAAAATGGGAAATTAAAGCAATGATTTACTGAAACATGCAAATAACCATGTATATGAGGCAAAAACAGAGTATGGCGAGCTCATTTTAATGAGCTTGAAAGTCAGTCTTTGGTATGAGTGCCTTTATTCTTCAGCACAACCTTCTTCTAAGCAGCTTTCATTTCATTGTTTTAAATAGTCTTCAGGAATAGTTATCCAGGTTTCTTGAAGGAAATTCAAAGCTCTTCTTTGTTCTGTTTTCTGTCAAGATGATCCTAAGCTGCTTCAATAATATTTATGATGACTTCAAAGATTCATCACTCCAAAACACCCAATAGCTTTCATTTCCAGTCCAGTCCTTGTGTAATTTGCCATATCTCAGCCTTTTCTCCCTGTTTCTCTTCTTTTTCTGATCAAGTGAAGGGTCAAATCTATCTCTCAGGCTCAAATTCTTTTCTGTTTCTTCCAGTTACCGTTCATTTCCTGTGGATAGTTTTTACCCATGCCACATCTTCTTTTGTCGAAGACATCTCCAGTTGTTTCAAATCTTTTAAATGCACACTGCACACCAAAAGAGATAGCCCAAGCTTTTTGTTATTTTCTGCAGATTCAAGTAAAGTAATAGGAATGACTTATGTACTAGTAACAAAGTCCCTAAAGAACCTGTTTTGAATTGGTTCTGTACTAAGTTGTCTTTTATAGTTAGGTGTCTTTTTATACTTGAATGTTTGATGTGTTAGTATTAAGTGACTTCTTTCTTATAGAAATGGTCAAATAAAAGGACTGGGCTAAAAATGAATGAAAAAGCAGCCAATGTCCAAAGAAAAGCTTTGAAAGACCTTCAGAAAGCCATCAAGTCTATACCTCAAGAAAAGCTTACAGGGGCTCCAGTGGCGCAATTGGTCAGCGCGCGGTACTTATAAGACAGTAACCTGCAGAGTGATGCCGAGGTTGTGAGTTCGAGCCTCGCCTGGAGCACAAACTTATGACAGGCAAAAGTTGTTGTGATTTTGGGCAAATAACATTGGATTTAAAAGAAATTGCTGAAGGCCACCTCCCAAAAAAGTTGATTCTGTTCATCTGGAACGAATGTTTTCACTGGGAGGGACGTTTCGTCAGTCATCCAAGTGAGAAAACGTTTCCCAGCCTTATAAACAGTACATTTGCATAATGACTGAAAGTGGCAACAATGACAAGCAACAGGCTGTGGTGTCAGTTTCTTGATCATTAATATTCAAATTTGATTTCAGGGTGCTTTAAATGAAAAACAAAAACAAAAAAGGTGAGATGAGAAAGTGTGGAAATTAAGCGTACCTCCGTTTTCTGTGGGTGTGGCAGTCTCTGCCTCTTTCGACAGCTCCTCCTTTTTAAGCAGCAGCACATTCAGCTCTTTCTGAATGGTCTCCAGCTCGTCTTCGCTGTCATCGTCATCCTCGATGTTTGCTGATGACATCACACAAAGTACCCCAAAGGTTAAACTGACGCACAGTAAGCTGCTTGGTCCATTAACTCAGTGATTACTGCATTAGATTGCTTGTTTTATGAGCTAACACAAGTCACAGAATCGGCTGTAAGTTACAGCCACACTAGTTTTAGATTCTTAGCTTTTTGTGTATGAAGTAAAGTTGCTGTTTAAGTCAACTGCTGATGAATATATGTCAACATGCACCCTAACAATGGTTTCCTTTTATAGGAACAACCACCAGCTGTCGGGTTTTTTTAATCTGACTCACTTTGCTTTGGAGCGCTGTCCATCTTTTGCTCTGACTTTTTGGTAAATTCCCTCATCTTCTGCAGGAGGAAACGGCGGTTCTGAAGCTGCTGGATGCGGAACTCAATGACAGCCAGCGGTGGAGGGCCGCTTCTCGTCTGCATTGTCTCCTGGCTAGATTCAGGTTGGGGATCAGGGTCAGCTTCGTCCTGCTGCTCCTCCTCTGGCTTTTGCATCTCGCCTGCGTCTGGCTCCATGTTTGGAAGCTCCTCTAAATTCTGATCAGACACCATGTCCAGGATTCGATTCTCCATCCTGGGACAGAGATCTGAATATATAGTCCTCAAACCGATGGATGTGTAAAAACAAAAGAAAATCCACAGAGAACGCAGCTCAAACCCACGATCCTAATCCAAATTCAAGCCAGCCTGTGGCAAGGTTAGGTTCCAGACTTCCCCTTCTGATTTTTCTCAGAGATCGGGGAGAGCTGCTTGAAGACAAACATTTCTTCTGTAAAAAGAATTAGTCCACCTTCTGAATGTTTCAAAAAAAGACTCATCAGATGGAAATATTTTCATCATCTGTCCATTCTCACCTCAGAGGGCTCATAGCAGCTTTGCACAAACGTCAGCATGGCTGATAGCTCCGCTGAAATGAAGTAAACAGTGTGCACAAACAAATGAGGATCCAAACGTCCGTAATCCATGCAAATGCCACTAGCTTGGAGCATGTGCAGGTCATATGCTGAAAGGAAAAGTGTGATCATAAGAGATGTTAGAAGATGGAAACAGAGGCTAAAAGCAATGGCTTGCTGTAACTATTCCAGCTAAGCACTGTTCCTCCACATTACTGGAAAACTAAGCGTTTAAATGCAATGCACTGAAGTTGGAAGGTATATTTACCTGCCCCAAAAGTCAGGGTTCCATTTGCTGCATCCCCAGAGTGCTTTAATATGTGTTTATTTTAAACTTTAGGCTTTCTTTGAATAAATGTAAATAAAGTTTACTTTTCATAATTTTACTGAAGTAAATATGAAAATAATCTCATTAAAAGATTTGCTTCTGTTATCACATACAAAACGCATTATAACAGACCTGTGTGTGGCAATTTAAGAGTTCTTTCAATTCAATTCTGGTTTTTATAGCGCTAAAACACCCAAGGAACTTTAAATATTGTAAGGTAAAGACTCTACAATAATACAGAGAAAACTCCAAAAATCAAAAGCTCTCCTATGAGCAAGCATTTGGCGACAGTGGGAAGGAAAAACTGCCTTTTAACAGGAAGGAACCTGTACATCATCTCAACATAGCAGCAGCTATAATCTGGTGGACAGTTCAGTTATCAAGCCTGTGGCAAAGGCTCAGTTGTTTTGTAGTAAAGCAGATAAGATGAGAAACATGCACAACATTTTTCAGTTTCATTTTTCTGTAAGCCACGAAAATAGCACAATTCAGTACTGACAAACTGGTAATGGAGTTGCTTTTGCATTAAAATTTGAAATTCATATAACCTCTCCCTTAGTGTATAGAATCAGCACAGGATATCACAATATCAGATCTTTGACTGCATGTCTGTTCTTATCGGTTTCTTTTTGAGCTTTTGCTACTTTTGCTACTTTTGCTATCTTCATCCTGCTCTCTCTCCTTCTCACCCTCTCTATCCTCCTCTCTCGGGCTTCATGCTGTTACCAAAATGTAAATGTGACAGTGAAACAGAATTTACAACCCAATAAAAGGGCTGAATTACATCATTTTATGATACTATTCTAAGTAAATATAGGCTTCCACTGGCCATTGATAGTTAACATCCTTCTGACTAGCTCTGGAGTCCTGTTGTGCTGTAAACAAATGATGAAGCCCAGTTCGAGCAGGAACTCATTATGAGGTGTACTTTATTACATTAGGTATGTAATAAAGTACACCAGCTCCTTGGCTGTCAGCTAGCAATACGGCAGCAGAACACCTATAATTTCTAGTGATCTAACCTACGCTATCTAACGTTTTTGATGCTATTCAGGCAACAAACATACATAAGCAATGCATATGCTTTTGTGTGTGTTTTGAATCTGCACCACTTAACTGTGTCATGAAATTACTCAACTGCCGCAATACAAGTCTTATGAAAAGCATGAAAAAGGAGAAGCTGGGTTGGAGGTGGGTTGCAAAGCAGCTTGCAGATGCACAGCAAACATTGGCAGGCTTGATTTGCCGTGTTGATGCATAGAAGGGTGGCAGCTGAGCCATCAGCTCATGTACAGCATCCGCCAGCTGACTTTGACTTTGACGCAGGACAGATAAACACAAGCATTCATTTGAAGTTGCCATTCCCTACCATGGAAGTCCGTTATTCGATCTCCTTTTAGCTTAGATTTGGTCATCATCAAAATCTGAAAGAAACATTTGAATTTGAAATTTGAAACATTCATGTCATATAAATCTCATTTTTATTATAAAAGTATTCAATCAGTGCAGCTTTAAGGCAACAGGTCATTTTATAAAATGACCTGAAAATTTGATTTCCAGTACAATTCAACACTATTTATATTGCACCAGTCACAGCAGCAGTCATCTCAAGATGGTTTATATTGTAAGGTAAAGACTACAATAATACAGAGAAATCTCCGGCAGTCAAATGACAGTGGGAACGAAAAACTCCCTTTTAACAGGAAGAAGCCTCCAGCAGAACCAGGCTCGGGGAGTGGCAGCCATGTGTCATGACTGGTTTGCGGATGAGAGGATGGAGACATTGTTAAGAAGCTCAGGTCTCAATGTGGACATAAACATCAAGATTACAGGTGTTGTTTGTAGTAGCGCACATAGATTTTTTTTTTCCAGCTGCCATTCTTATGTGTCAAGGTGATGAAAGTTCAAAGGTCACGATCACAATTTTTACATAAACAGTGATCTAAAAATAAGCTCTCATTGAACTGTGTAATGTGGTACTTGGCTCCATATGACGGTACAGTAGAGAGCAACTGTAGCATGAGCAAAGCCTGGAGCTAGTTTATAACAACAACAGAGAGGATGATGGCTGACCTATACTCCACTCACCGAATCACTCCATGTAAACACTCTAGTAAGGTTAAAGGGTTAAAGCCATAAAGGGTTTTCTCATAAACCTTCTCCATGATCTCATTTTTACTTCCCGCTTTGAGGTGGGATAAGGCGTCATCATTTACTTGTTTTTCTTAGTTGACACTCGGGAAGCTATTTGGGTCACCAGGCTTTGCCTGAATAAACAGCAACACACAACAATACATTATATTACTTACCAAATGATGGAGCTCATCCTCTAAATGTTGTTCTATGATTTGACCACTAGATGTCAGGATAGAACAAGGAGCTGGTCAGGCTCACAGAGGATTAAGTCTTTAGTTTACAGTTTGACGTCACTGGTTCGGCACTTGCAAGCTTCTATATATCCATCCCTCCACCTCCTCTTTCATTTCACAGGACCTTTATGAACAGTGTTTCCTTTTTCTTCTTTCATTTGGTCAGACTTACCTTTTATCCACTTTACACACACGCACTTACCTACCTTCTCAATTGACTTTTTGCTCTGTGTGTGCATGTGTGTGTAAGGGAGATACACACAGATCAAGTAACAGTAAAGCGTGTGTGAGCACCACCTGTCAGGGTATTAGTCACCCAGAGAAGGATACACAGACTCATTGATGGTTAATGAGCTTCATTATACAACAACCAAAACTCCTCGTGTGTCACTTGACAGTCGTGTTGCAGTCAAAGCGCAAATGTTAAATAATTGGACCCTAAATGCTTCAAAGTAGGTCTTTCAGGTATTATCTGGAGATGAAAGCACCTCCTGCCAGGTGTTAAACATGAGCAGCTAGCTATTGGTCACAGCGGACCATTTAGGTGCTAAAAAGCTAAATAATTTTCTCAAAACTGGAGACCAAAAATAGACCTAAAAATGAGTGACTTTCATGCCAAACTAATTTCCAGATTCTTATCTTTGCTACTCCAACTTTCTGTTTCAACAAATGTTCATGGCTTGCCTGGTATCAGTCAGAATGGCCTGCTCTTTGCACTCTCTTTCCATTTTAACTCTCACACTGTCTCCGCTCTAATGCATTACTATGGAGCAGAGGCTAGTCACGATTTGTCAATAGCTAATCAGTAGAAACCCAGGGGCAACCTTTGGAGCTTAACGATGAAGCCAACACGAGTTCCTCTAGGAACTGCAGTTCCTCAAGGTCCCACAGGAAGCTGGCTCCAACAGGAAATCAGTCTGCCATGTTAAATCAGGTTACAGCAATACAAAGGATATTTTTTGTTTTAAAAAAAAAAACAAGAAAAAAAAACCATTTTGTCCACTACAGGCACTTTCCCTTCTTCTATATATATTGTAAGAAATCATCCTTGAGATTAGAGCCACCACCATATTGACTGACAGGTTTTCCAATGCAGGCAGCTGATCAGTGCTAGTAATGCATTAGCTTTGTGCACTGATCAGCTTGTTATCCTGCCCCCAAGTGTCCAAATAAAAATGGATTACTGCAAATCTAAAAAACAAACAAACAAACAAAGATTCAGTCTGACAAAAGGACAATCACGACAGTTACGGAGTAAGCGGCAGGTATTTATTTCCAAAGTAGCATGGCTTAAATGTTTCAAAGCAGCAAGAGTATAGTAAAGAACACTATAATTAGTAAAAGGCTCAACACAGACATTAGCAAGAAAAATCAGAGTAACACTTTCCATAGTGCTAGAACAGTCCTCTGTAATTACCGGCCCTGGCAGAGGACTGTTGCATAACAGACAGACAGAGGTGGCCCATAAATCAACTTCAACTATCACTGTAATACACTGTGGTAGTTCAAAGCAGTTAAACAGGACAGTGTATTATATATATATATATTATATATATATATATATATATATATATATATATTATATATAATATGTGTTGTGTGTGTGTGTGTGTGCTGTGTGTGTGTGTGTGTGTGTGTGTGTGTGTGTGTGTGTGTGTCAGCTGTGCTATCATTGTATTGTAATGGAGATTATTGTAGCAAACACTTTATCCTTTAGTATTCAGTGTGATGGACTGGCCTGCTCCCTCCCAGAGGACGTCACTGAGGATGACGTAGAGTTGCTTAGAGGGTTGCGTCATGCCTGGATTAGTGTGTGTGTGTGTGTGTGTGTGTGTATTTCTGTACTTATGAAGACCAAAACAAAGCTTCCTAGAAAAAAAAAGACCCAGAAACTATTTGCCATCATTTCATATTATAGCAGGAGTGAGTCAATGTGCGGATGTTCCTCTTCTCTTTGTCTGAATGAAAAACCATGCTAAGAACCGTTTCCTGTGCAGCAGCTCGCAGCTGGACTCTCACACTGACTAATGGGAAGAGAATTTGAATACACACGCTCTCACGGTCACAGCAGTTGGTTCTCATCACGGTCTTGAGCATGCTGACTGAAGGCGAGTGGCAGCAATGATGTCACAAAAATGGGCCATCAGTCACCCACCAGCCCCCACCTTTTCTTTTTGGGAGGTTGGTGGCAGACAGGCGAGATCTCTGCAACACTCAGATGAAGGAGGTGCGGTGTGTTTGTGTAAAGTAAGTGAGGGAGGAGAGAAATATAAAGGGATGTGAGAGGAGGGTGAAAATGAGGGAGGAAAGACAGAGAGAGAGAGACAGAGAGAAAGGAGGGCATGAGAGAGGGTGTCAGGCACGCTGCCAGCCATGCAGGTCTGATGTGAAAAACGATGTCTGCGGCTGCAGCGACAGGCGAGCGAGGATGGATCCTGTTCTGCATCGAAGACACTATGTCACAGACACGCAACTTATGCTCACACTCATAGTGCCGCTGTAAATCGTCTGGTGGAACGAGAGGGTTGCGTAACAAGGCATCTCTCCAAATCTATGTGCGGCATCCCTCAGCAGTGACGTTCAGAGATTAAAACCATGCAGCACCTCATTGTTATAGCTCAAACATATAACAGCGACGATAAATCTCTTTAACAAATCACAAGCTTTGGTTACCACGCTGTCCCGCCCTCAGAGGTCCCCCCCCACCCCGAGGTGGATTGACTTGTCTACACATCTGCAGTCAGTTGTGTGCAAATGGCCCGCAGACGCTGTTAAACAAGACAAATATCTCATTTTAACATGAAAGCATGGCTGACATGTTGGATTTGAGATGTGCAATGAACTTGAACATTCAACAGTTCTAAGTAGATGCTTCCACTTGGTTGCAGTAGGAAAGATATAAAAGAGTAAGAAGTATTTTGTGGGATCTGTTCATCTGGTGTATCTGAAAGGATAAGGCTGGATTATATGATATGAGGAGTGACAGTGTCGGTCTATTGGTTGGTTAGCCTTAGTGGAATATATTCGCTTAGCTTTTCTCTAGATCCATGATGAGTTCCACATTTACCATGAAATTAAACTTCAAATTTAATGTGTTCTCCTGAAGATAAACCTTGAATAATTTGGTGATCTTGCTATTTAGCACAGTCACCAAATCAACAGTCTAATTGATCTAGTGTTTTGGTAACAGGGGCAGGGCTAAAGGGGGGAGCTAGGGAGGCACTGGCCCACTCTGAAATTTGATTATGGGCCATATTTTACCACGACTTTGGCATCACATCTTATACTTCATTGTACCCCCTATGCCCGCTGTGGCCCTTTAAAAACATTCTGGAAACAATAGCTGGACCCTCTATTAAAAATTGCACATTAGAAATTTTCAGGGTACTATTTGCTAGCCAAGGCCCTGGTCACACAGGCTGGGAACCACCAGTTGTTAGGGGAAAAGCTGGTTGGCAAGTGGTTACAAGAAGTTGCTAGCTTGGTGAAATTGGTCACAAAGCTGTACCAAAAACCTCCTTGTGGCTACTTTGGTTGCTAGCTTGTTGCCATGTTCACCCATAGCTGGAATCTAAGACTGCAACCTCTCGCTACCACTCGTAATTGAAATTGCAATGCAGACTTGAAACATAAAGTATTTGCTTAAAAATTAAAGTGAAGTAAAAGTTGCACATTTTGAAACATGCTGCTTTTATCTAGACTAGGCTAGCATCGTTATGGTGGCTACAAAATACGCAGTGTCAATGAAACTCACAACAATGACAAATAAAATAACAGTTAAGCTAAACCAAATTAAGCTAGCATTAACTTTGAAGCAAATAATTAAGGCAACTACCTGAAAAAGAGAGGGGGGGCCACAGGTAACGCATTTTAAATGTGGACAGCCCTTAAGCCGCACGCAGCTATTATTAGCTGATTAGCAAAGGTTTTGAGATAAACTAGCCAATCAGCTCAGGTTTTCTCAGCTCTTTAGCGGAAATAATAATGATGCATCGTGAGTGAATAACTCTGATGTAAATATGTTTCATCATTCATCATTTCTGAACTTCTGACAGCTTTAAATGAGGCAGAGGAGCACTGCCGTAAGACCAGCTTGGGTCTGGTCTTACGGCAAGTTTTCAAAAATGTTTTAGGAATTAATTTTGTAGAAATAAAAAAAAAGGACTCGTAATAATGCATTTATTCTCATTTTACTGCTGTTATGTGACAAGTCTTGCTACATATATATAAACATGTAATTGCTGGTGATATTACTCCAGTCTGTATGTATATATACCTGATTTGCTGTCTCTCTGTTTGCACCCTCTTTAACTTTGATGTATGCTGTCTGTGTTGGCTTGTTGCAATGGCCTGATTCACCAGAGAAATCATTAAAGTTTCATCTGATCTAATCGAACCCCTGCTGTCACCACAGAGCTCCCTCACAGTCAAGATAAAATAAAAGCACTGCAGAGTCATTGAGCAAGGACTGTAACAGAAAATCGTATTGGAAAAGCTCAAATTCAGTTGTATGTTTCACACAACCGCGAAACAGATGTGTGGCACTGCAGGTTACAAGTGACATTCACTCTTTTACGTGTGAAAACCTTCTGGCTGCGATATCCTGCAGCGTAACAACTGGCTAATTCACCTTTTAAATGAGGTTTATGACTTGTTTCCATCCTCTTGTGTCTTCAAAATGTCTCCCTCCACATTTATTGGTCTCTGCCCGTCTGTGAAGGAGTCAAAGAAGAATGAGTGTCCACCACATGCAAGGAATGACAGTGGAGGTGATTTCTAGGGAAGTGAAAAAGAAAGAAAGAAACTGGAAGGAACACTTTAATACACAGCCCTGTTGTAAAGCTGGCACGTTGAGGTGTGGCGTCCGCTTGCATGGACAGATTGTACATCATGTTACTTCATGTTTTTTCTCCAACTACAACCGCACAACACCGGAACTGAAACAGCACATGTCCATGTCTGTCTCTTCCCCTGGCGGTCAGGGCTCTGGTGTTATTCCCACACATGCTCACGTGTGAGCACAAAGAACTTCCCCTGCTTCCATTCTAAGTGTAATGTATTGTTTTAGTGCTCATGTGTGT